CTTCCACACGCGCAGTGCTCGCAGTACTCTTCGACTTGCGCAGCTGGGACTCCCAGGGCCTCTGGTTGCTACCCTGTGGGCTTTCGTTGTCTTTCCCGAATCGACGCCGCGAGTAGAACGGTCGTTCCATCATTTGAGCCGGCAGATGGGCGCCTCTGAAGCCTCCACGAGCATGCTTTTCTGGCAGTGTCCTCGCGGAGCCACAGTCGGTGGCATCGGCCACAGGCAAACGCGACTTCTTGAGCGAGGGTTATTGCAAGGTGCCGCCGCCACCCTAAAGTCATTCAGGATCGGCTGTTAAGTGCTGATCACAGCTGATGCCAGGGACCATGCCGCGGCTGCCACACCTTTTCGCCGGTGGGAGTCTCGCACGGCCTTGGCCATGCCACGGTTGCGCGAGAGCTCAGGTGTGTGGCACCGTGCGGGCGCACGCCTGCTCGCGTGGTTTGTCTTGAGTGTTTTGGGGGACGGGTGCAGTGTGGTCAGGCGCCCAGGCAATTGTGCCAAGGCAACTCTGCTAAGAAAAGCAGGCAAGCGCACTGTCGGAAGGTGCCGCCGACAACGCGGACACGTCCGCAGCACGGTCGGGGCATCCCCCTTGACGAGCCCAGGCCTTGGTAGTACACTGTTGCATTTCAAGCAGTTTCACGGTCGCGTGTGCCTTGGAGCATCACTTTGGCGTTTCCGTTACCAGTCTTTGCATTTTGACTGGTGAAGTGGGCAGCCAAGATGAATGCTTGGGACGAGTGATGGATGCCCTTGCAAACTGTCCTTGCAAAGTGCGGCACAGCACACGCAAAGCCCAGAAACTTTAAGCACAGCTCAGAGTACCAAATGCGAGGCCAGTGCCCTCAAAAGCAGCCTTTACATCAGCTTCTGAGCCGAATTGTCGAAGTTTGGAGCGGGCGAAGGGCATTAGATCTGAGGCTCTGAGATCTCAGAGCCCCCAGAGCTTTCGGAGCACTCGCGGCAGTGCGGCAGCTGCACCCGTTGCTGCGCTGTAAATCGGCAGCTTCAAATCCTTTGAGACTTTGAGGCTCTCTCCCGAGAGAGAGCGTTGCCCTAAGTTACCGTACATGTCTGCAACAGGTCAAAGCGCTGCTTGCAGCTGCTGTTCGGGAAATCGGCGGCGAGAAGCGAGGCGAGGCAACAGGGAAGAGTGGGAAGAGAGGTGGGGGCAAGGTTAGACAGAAGTTTGAGTGTTTCCCTTTCGCGATGAACATCGCTCAAACTTCTTTTCAAACGAGCTGTGTGAGGGAGAGATTGTTGCTACGCCCTTGTCGAAGGCCACAAGATGTTGCTGCGGCAGCAGTTCGTTAGCCCTTGAAGTCGCTCGAACTCAGAAGTTCTTGGAGACTGGTGTAAGATACATTCATCAAGCACCCCCCCCCCGGGCCCCTTAGTCTGTGAAGAAGCTGCAATGGTCGAGTCTCTGCACGATTAGTGAGTAGTTGGAGCGGGGGACGTTCCCAAATGCACGTTCCCAAATGCACGAGATGGCATTATGACGACCGTGAACAACCCGTGTAACAAGCTTGAGTATCTTACGAATTTCGGATCGTCGGCGAAATCGTCCACCACCAACAGAGTGGCAAGCAGATCTTTTGTTTATTCTTCTTCTGAAAATCAACTACTTTATGTTGAGTGTCTATGATCTTCTTTAGTGCCACTGGGTCGTATTCCTCATACTAAACCTGTTCTTTTTCGGCGTCTGCCTTCATGACATGGCTTATGTATGTCTTTACGTCCACGTGAACACTGGGTAAAAAGATGTATATTCTCTCAAAGGACCCTCTGTAGAATTGTTAATTTCAAGTTCTGGATCAATACTGCTTTACCATCTGTTGAAGAAGCCACGCGTAACATCCACGCGGGTAGCTTCGGCATCATATCAAATCTGCTGTTTTTGTTTATATTCGGGTATGTCTACTGGTTCTACTTTGGGTATTTCTCCACTCAGTACTTCATGGGAGAAAAAATATCTTTTGATATTTCAGGCCTAGTGGCACGGGCCGGCCCCCGCCCCCCAAAGCACGAAACCTTGAACCTTGGCACTGTCTTCTCTTTCCGTTTTCTTTGTCCTTTTTCTTTGTCTCTCTCCTCTCGCTCTCTTTCCATTTTTCTTTGTACTTTTTCTTTTTCGCTCTCCTCTCTCTCTCTCTCTCGCTCTCTCGCGTGTTTTTTTTCTGTCTTTTGTTTCTTCCTCTCTCTACTTGCCTGTTTTTCTTTTTCTCTGTCTTTATCTTTCTCCTCTTTCTTCCCTGCGCTTCCTTGTTTTTATTTCCTCTTTCTCTTTATCTTTTTGTCTCTCTTTATCTTTATTCTCCTCTGCTTCCTTGTTTTCATTTTCTCTTTCTCTTTATCTTTTTTGTTTCTCTTTCTCTTTATTCTCTGTCTCTTCAATATCTTTTTCCTTCTACTTCTCTTTGTCTGTCTCTCTCTCTCTCTCTTTCTCTTTCTCTTTCTCTTTTTCTTGCTGTTGGTCTTTCTCTGTTTCTTTTCCTCTCTTTGTTTCTCCTTCACCTCTCTCTTTTTTCTTTTCTTTCTGTTGCTGTTAGTCTTCCTCTGTCTGTCTCTCTCTCTCTCTCTCTCTCTCTCTCTCTCTCGCTCTCTCTCTTCTTTGTTTTTTTTGAAATCTCTCTCCCTCTCTATCTTCTCACTTTCTCTTGTTCGTTCACCTTTCTCTTCTTCGTTCACCTTTGTCTCTTTTTCTCTTTCATTCTTCGTCTCCTTCTCTCTGTCTCTCTTTCTCCTGCCTTCGGCCCCCCCCCCCCCCCCCCCCCCCCCCCCCCCCCCCCCCCCCCCCCCCCCCCCCCCGCCCGCCCGCGCGCGCGCGCGCACGCACGCACCCGCATCAGGAGCATCATTGGGGTTGGTTTGGGAGCCCAAAAGACATTCTAAGCATGCGTTTTGCCTTCGAAAAACCTTCAGAAAACGCTGTAAACACGTGTTTTTGAGCTTGGGAAGCCTTTTGGAACCGAGGAAGAGAGAGCATCATGAGCATCAGCGGCCTCCCCCAGGCCATCCGAAACCTCCTGAAACACGCCGATTATATGTGCTTGAACGCTTGCGTGCCCACCAAACCCCCAAAAGCAAGACCCCGAATGCCCTTAAGCGCATTCGGGGTCCTGCTGTTCGGGTGTTTTGTAGGCACGAAGCCGTTCGAGCGCGTAAAATGAGCGTTTTTACGTGGGCCCACAAAACACTCGGTATTTACGAGGTTTTCTGCTGTTGGAACACCCCCCCAAACCGAGCATCATGAGCATCAGCTGGGTCTCTGGGCTGTGGGCCCGGAGGCCCACGAAGCCCACATGAGAAACGATGGCTGGATGATGCACCCGGACCCCGCGCATCAGCAGCATCAGCAGACCCCCCCCCCCGACGTGGGTTTCGATGATGCACACTTTGGGGGCGGGTCAAGGGCAACAAGGGTGGGGGTCGGAGGCACGCGTGAAAACCCTCATAAAAACACGGTATTTACGGTGATTTCAGCGTTTTTCAGCGTTTTTTCTTGCCTTGGGTCCGCGGGCCAGGGCTGCTGATGCTCATGATGCTCGCCTGGTTTTGGGCTTCCGGTACCCCGCCCAAGCCTTGAAAAACATGGTTTCGGCCTGGCCCGCGCCCCATGTGAAAAGCTAGGGTCGATGATGCGCGCCCGTGAGGGTTTAATTGGGTGCTGCGGGTGTTTTGTGGCCTCGGTTTTTCGTAAAAAACCCATGGTTTTTACGAGGCTTTCGTGCTTTTCGCACCACCGCGTGTTGCGTCCCCTTGGATGCCGTTTCGGAGGCCTCCCGAAGGGCCCCGCGCGAATTTGAAGCAATTTTGGGCGGGGTCGGCGGCTCGGGCGCTCGCCCCTTAAAGCTAGCGCTTTAGTGCGACGCGGGCTCCGCCCTGGACCACGGGCGGCGCGGGGGCCGGATTTAACGGGTACCGGCAGTGCCGCCGACCCCAGACAGGAGGGCGGGCGGCAGGCCGGCAAACCGCAGAGCCAGTACAGGCTCCGAGATCTAGGGTTTAGGGTTATGTTTAAAGGGTGAGTTTTTCCCCAAACAGGAACCGTTTGGGGTCCTCTCCTCAGAAATAAAGTGTCACGCGCTTGGCCAGATGGGTGTCACGCGCTTCGGGCCTGTGGTCTCCCATGGTCTCCGATCATGAGCACAATTGGGGCCAATTGGGGCCGGGTGGGTGTCACGCGCTTCGGGCCTGTGGTCTCCCATGGTCTCCGATCATGAACCCAATTGGGGCCATTGGGGTCGGTGGGTGTCACGCGCTTCGGGGCCTGTGGTCTCCCATGGAAACTATGGGTTATGAGTGCGCAGGCCCCGAGCTCCCCGGCATGCCGAAGCGCTCGCGAGGTCCCACGCACGACTGGTCCACCTGTCCGTGAAACGTTCATGTGGTCTCCCATGGTCTCCGATGATGAGCGCAATTGGGGCCATTGGGGCCGGGTGGGCGCTCGGCCTGCGGTCCCATGGGGTCGTCTTTCATGGTCTCCGATGATGAGCGAAATTGGGGGCATTGGGGCCGGGCAGGTGTCACGCGCTCGGGCCTGTGCTCTCCCACACAGTCTCCGATCAGAGCGCAATTGGGGCCAATTGGGGCCGGGCGGGTGTCACGCGCTTCGGGGACTGTGGTCTCATGAGCTATGGGTTATGAGTGCGCAGGCCCCGAGCTCCCCGGCATGCCGAAGCGCTTGCGAGGTCCCACGCACGACTGGTCCACCTGTCCGTGAAACGTTCCACTTCAGGAACAGCCACATAACTTGCGCGAGGCAAACTGCACATGCCTGGCACAGGAGATGGAGCTGATCTGTCTCAGCTGTACAAAATGAAAATAAAAATGCTGTCATCAGATGCCTGGAGGCTACAAGACCAAGCAGGCAGAGCTGCAAAGGCTTAGATGGTCCTCTCATTTGAGGCCCTAAGAACGGAATCATCATTTCATTCAGTGTAGCACGTCAGTCGAGCTGACGACTCGGGCGGTCACACTTGCTTAGGCCATCATCTAGCATTGGCAGCGTGAGTCGCCAGGATGTACTCTTCAAGTTCCTTTGACGCTGCTGCCGCAGCTCGGATGATTGCGATTTCTTGCTTTTCGGCGGACTCAAAAGCTCGATGCCGTTTGGCTCGCGAGGAGTCCACACAGCGCGCAGCTCGCTCCTTATTCGCGGCCTCGTCCGCAATTTGGTTAAGTCGCCTACGCTTCGTTGCCTCGAGAGGGGTCGGCGGGCGCCATCCATCTTTCTTTCCATGTGAAGGCACCCACACAAAATCGATGATGTTGCCTTGCTCCCGGAGATGTAGTAGATCGCGACGGGCACGACCGGCTAACAGTGGAGCTGAGCAGTTGGTCGGCGATTGCACGGCTTTGATCGCCGACTTGCAATCGACTAAAACTGCAATCCGGGCACCGTGGATGCAGGCAACCCGCGACGCATGAAGAAAGAAAACGATGGCCTGAAGTTCCTGCCGAAAAGGGCTTTGATCTTCATGGCTGTCCCCACAGGCCAAAGGTTCGTTCTCACTCTCAACAACAATTGCAAAAGCCCCAATGTCATCTTGCGAACTTCCATCCGTTGCCACCAGCAGTAGATCACTGAGCTTTGCCCGCAAAATGACTTCAACGAGGCGCTGCACAAACCTTTGCACGTTTCCAGCTGCTGGCGCAGCAGGAAACTCTTGAATCCGTGCTCCAAATAGTCGCTCCTGGACCCTTTCGGTGGGCAATTGCAGGTTGCAGCGAAGTCTCTGAGTGTGCTCACACGTCCAGGTTATGTGCGGGCGAGAGGGCCAAGCACCTCCACATCTGCAAAGAACAGCTTGTCCAGAGATAGCACGAAGGCCGTGCCGAGCATTATGGTACCAAGCAGTGCCTCCTGTTGCCAGGCAAGCTCGACGAATTTCCAAGGAGGCGCTGGGCTGTCCAAGTGAACGATGTCCAGCAAAAGCATACCTTGCCCCTTCTGGGGGCTTCGGAAGCGCCATGCCGCGGGCCAAATTATCGTCAGACCTGTGATAACTTCTGGAAACCCTACCACATTCCATCACAGCCTTGTATCTGTGCGCCTCAGTGAGCCATTGAATGAGCACTTTGAAAGAGTCGACTCCAAAGAAGTACTTCCTTTGCACGCCGTTGTCGTCAGTTCGAGAAAGGGCCTTGTCACGGACAAGCGCTTGCCAGTTAAGTCGCTCTAGGACCTCTTGCGCCATTGGAAAGATGACGCCCCAAGCAGGAAAAGCATTTGTCAAAGGCAAGGTGTCCAACCACTCAGGAGGTTTGCAGACGTAACGCCATAACGCTTTCAGGGCGGCTTTGTCCAGCGCCCACCGCAAATTCAGATCCCAGCCAAAGACCTCATAGAGCAGAATCGCAGGAGTTTCGTCCGTGCAGTGCTGTTTGTAGACGGCCCGGGTGGCTTTTTGGATCTCCCTGATTTCCCGGCTGCATGGCTCAGCAACTCCTGCCGCCCAAAGAACAGCCGAGAAGACTAAGCTGTGAATAACCAGCTTCTTGTGAGCGGCATTCGGGCCGAGGACTTTAAGATAGTGCAATCGCAACAGCAGTACTCGGAGATGAAGTTTCAGCGGGGAAGCATTTTGCACTTGTAGGTCCAATCGAACACCGAGGATATCAAGATGGCTTGTGCGTTTGTATCCACGCCTTTCAGCTATTACATCCAACGAATGGTCATCGAGGGCAGCAGCTACTCCACATTTGCTGGGCTTGCAGGTAAAATTAAACGCAGCATCATATATGTCGCTTTTATGAAGCGCCAGAGAAACCGCAGCCACTGGGTCGGGCATTGAATGATCCGGCCATATCATTCTGTCGTCAACATAAATCAGATTCTGAGCTCCTGGAACCTGACAAAAGCGAGACCAAATGCAACCCACAGCCAGCGCCGCCACGGGTCTTAATGGGCAGCCTTGCAGCAGACCCCGGGTGGGCTCAAACCACCCGGTGTCCCAAACACCGCCTACCCGGAAAATGCGTCGAGCATCATGATAGAAGGATGTCAGCAGTGTTTTCAAAGCTGGGGGTGCCCCCAGCCGATTCAGGACCATGACCACTGCCGGCGCACTCAGGGAATCGAAAAAGGCAGTGAGGTCTTGTTGTATGAAAGCGCGGCATCCATCATTCCAAGCCTGTGCACCCTGCAGTGGGCGTCTGTGACGGCTCGTCCAGCCGCAGATCCCAACGTGCAATGGTCCAACCAGAGTTCGCTCCATTGTCTGAGCTTGCGAGCGACGCACCGGGCGCCGATACGCCACAGCACCGAGCTTAATGCTATGGGACGTGTTTCATCGACTTTCTTTGGCAACAGGATAATAGCCGCCCGCCTCCAAAGTCGAGGTACATATCCCAGAACAATGATTTTGTTCCACAGTCGACATAGTCCATCCCACCATTGCTCTGGTAGTCGCAACATCGATTTCGCGGACCATTGGTCCGCTCCGGTGGCTTTATTTATCATTTGCTTCGCTGCCTCCTTGAGTTCCAAGGCAGTCATCTGCAACTGAATTTCGGAAGGCTGGACTTGGGGCACTTCCTCCAAGATTTCGCTGATGGCCTGAAAGTTGATGTCACCAGGTTTGGCAGTCCATTTCTCCTTCCAGTTCTTGCCCTGGGTTTTGAGGACCAGCGTGGGATGAATAGACACCGGCGCTGACTCAATAGGGGGCGGTTGCTGCTCAGCTCGAAGGGCCTCATCTGCCTTGCGTTTCACCCACGATATTTGGCGCACCACATTTTGTTTGGTGCGTGATCGCCACTGTTGGACCCTAGCCTCTTGTTCCTGCGCCAGGTAGCGCTCATATAATTGCTGCACAGCATCCACTTGTTCTTCCAGGCATCCGGCGGGCAAATAAGGCAGCTCTGGTACTAATTTGCGGAGTTTTGGAAGGGACTGAACAATGGCCTCACGTAGATCATCACAATGCCGTTGTTGGTGAAGTTGGCGGAGGCGTGTGGTGAGTCTTCGAAGGCCTCGAACACCTTGGGACTCATGGCCACGCACATGCACAGACTGTTTAACCAGGGGCCGCTGCTTTGGACTCCATGCTTCGCTTCGGGCCTGGCGCTGTCCGGCGTTTTCCTTGTTGGCCAGCGAGGCCTCCCCAGCATCTGACAAAAGGCGCCACGCTTCATCCAGGTCGCCAGAGTCAAGGTAACTATCAAACCGGTGGATGTCCCAGCTCAGCTCAAACGATTGGGCAATTTTTTCAGGATCATTTTGGGACAAATTTGCGAAGGTTGGCTGCGCATGGCCAGTGGAAAGAGCACTGCTGTCGAGACTATAGCAGATGATGGCATGGTCAGAAAGCTCACAACGCCTGAAATGTTGGACGTCCGTGGCCAACACCGTGGAGTCTGCCAAGCCAAAATCTATACGTCTGGTGTTCAGCGGATTTGTAGGGGGAAGGGGGCCCAAAAACATCTCATCCAAGGATCGAGCACTTCCCTCCATCAGTAAATCTCTGACGGCGCCCTCCTCCTGAGTCATGTTGTAATCCCCCAATAAAATGAAAGCACCACCAAACCTCTTAACAGCTTCAAAAACCTCCAACAGAGCTTGAGAAGTGGCATGTGCGTCATTGGGAAATCCATAAAAAGCAACCATCAGGACCTTTGAAATTCGGCCAGAAATGCGGCAATCAATGAGGCCCGCAGAGTATCTAGTGGAGGCCAATTCGGTTTTCAGGGTCACCGGCTGAATGGGCAATTTGGAGACCAGTGCTACCCTGTGCGAGTTGGCGCCATCATCCAGCTGACTCAGGATAGCGGTGGCTCCAAGGCTTCTCCATTCCTTCAAGTAGCCAAGTTTGGACAGCGGATTCACATCAGCTTCCTGTATTGAAAGTAACTCTGCACCAATTCCACTGGCAAAATCATCAATGAGGTTGGAGAGGGACACACCTTTACGATTGACATTCAAACTCGCGATTTTGAGGAAGATGCTGACAAGGTGGAACTCGCACTCAAGGCCTCAGCTGCTGAGTCAAAAGTAGCACTGATAATGTCCGAAGAGAGGCCATGCTTCTGACGTGCTGACGCCGCCCAAGTTCTCAATCTCTGTAGCACGTTCAGTCTGTAGGTGCAGGTCTTTTTTGACTGCGGTACACAAGGCCTGGAAAGGTGTTTCTTGGCAGTGCCCTGGCGTCTGTGAAGCAAGAACCGCATTGTCTACACGACCAAGCATGTGTAAAAGTGATGCCTGTAATCTTCTTCTTGGTGCACTTGGCATGTGGCCAAATATACATGCGAAATTTTGTCGTTGGCACTGGCGGCGCCTGCAGGTGATTGACCACTTTGGCATTCAGCTTCTGGAACCGGTGCTTCTTTGAGACTTTGGCCTTGTCCATGGGCTTCTTGGCTATTTTCAACCATCGTGCCCGATCGATTCGAGGATGCTGCTCAGCTCCACGGGCGCGTTTCATAGCGGCAAAGGCCTTCGCGTTGATCTTCGCCCTTAGTTCCTTAGTGACGCCTTTTCGACAGATTGGGCACTTCCAAAAGAAACGTTCAAGGTCCCCGTTCACGTTCTCCATCATGGGTCGGAAATGCTTTCCTGGCAGACCTTTGCCTTCATGATGTGTGTTGCAGTGCTTAGCTCGGCAGTTGATGTAACTCTTGGCGTCCTTGACCGGTTTCTGGAAGGGACAGAGCTTACATCGAAAAATCTTATCAACTGGCATCGGGTCTCGAACACGCCAAGGACATTTGCGCTTCTTGTTGGATTGGATGCTATTATTTGAGTCAAGCAAGCTCTCCGAGATCATGCTATCCAAAGCATCGATGTCATGTTCGAGGTCGGGGTTGGCCGGCAGGTTCGGGAGGGAATTGGCACTTGTCGTCCAAATAGTGCGCTGGCAGGCAGTTCCATGAGGCCTGCTGTCTAGTCCATCCGGCTGCGAAGTTGCGTTGCGTCTGCAAGCTGCGCTACTGCGAGCCGTCTTGTTAGTCCACACGGTACCTTCCAACGAACGCTTACTGCTTGGGACTATGTTGGCTCCTTTTACCTGAGAGGCCCTCGAAGTCCAAACGGTACCAGCTTCAGACTCTGCGCCTCCAACTCGAACGCCAAAAGTTGGCCCGTTCTTGACCTCCAGCAGTTCCTTTGGGTAGCCTGTCTGACCATCAGGTAGCAAGAGGTCAAGGTGTTGATGCGTGTGCCACAAACCGATGACTCGCTTTTGCTGCTTAATGTGAAATGTGACTGGAGGGAAAGATGCACATTCCGGCACGAAAATGGCCCGGATATCATAAATCCGGCATAAGGCTGCAATCTCCATCTCCGAGATATATGCGGATTCTTTGGACACAGCCTCAACATACTCATTCCATGAAGGCAGCTTCTGTCCACTCGGTCCTGTTCCATCCCACATATGCACGTACTCCTTCTCATATCGCTGGAGATGGGCCGCAACTTTTGCTCGCATCTCCCGAGGATGAACAACTTGTTTGTCTTTCGACAAAATCTTCAGGCCCTCAGCAAAGCAATGAAAACCGCAAGATCCATCACCAGGCATGCTTTGCAATTTTGTTCCAGTCGGTATCTTGCGTTTCTCAACCTTAGGTCTCTTGGCGACAGACTCCTCTTTCTGTGCATTCTGTGATACCTCTGTCCCACCAGTCACACCTGCAGCTTCCGCAATTGGGTCTAGTATTGACCGTTTGGCCTCCAAGCTCATGGTTGCTCCTCGAAGCGGCCTTTGTTTGCGAGGTGTGTTGCGGGGAGGTGCAAGAACTGCCCATAGCGTCATAGCAGCACCCATGTACTCAACAGCTACCGGCACGAGATCTCGATTATCCTTGGCCTGCAAAGCACCCCTAAACCAACAGGTGCGCCATCCTTTCACATGTCTTTGCTTGATCAGGGTAACGTTTTGAAAGGATGTCCTCAAAACTTCCTTAATTTGGTCCGTGTCCCACTCCTTGGGGATGGATTCCAGCATCCATACTGTGGCCACTGCCTCATCCGCCTTGACCGACCGTCGCCAACCCAACTGTTTGCCCCGGACCACTAAACCCAGGTCCCCTGTGGCTCTGAGGGCGCGTCCCAAATATGAGTGGTGTTGCTCGTCCGATGAAATACGGGAGATCCACTCTACCGCGGCCCGAGTTTTCCGAGAAATGTCTTCAATAAAAATTCCCCCATGACCTGAAGCACGGAGAATTGTAGTCACGTCCACTTGTAGTAAGCGTACCAACCCGTATAGCTGACGGCCCATGCGCTGATCTTGTTCCTCCTTCCACGCAAAAGTGTCAATGGTTTGCACGTGATGGTCCCCGCACCATTGCACTATTGACTTTGATGGATTTTTTGCAAACATGTCCCATTTTTCCCGCTCCATGAAAAGAGACGGGACTCGCACACTGATGACCTGTGTAGCCTTGGTTGCGATCTGGACCTGTTGCTGTTTCATTCCTGTAGGCTGTGGGGCCGCGGTGTTCTGCGAGGTGATTTTCGTGGCCAATCCATCTCGAAAACAAAGACGGTCTCCAATCTTACCTGGAATGCGCTGAGCCTTGTCACACTTGCCCAAGACAATGGTGAGCACACTATGTTTCTTCGCCGTGCCTGCCAACATAGTATTGATCAGCTCCTGCTCCTCAGTATTGCACAATACCACTGCTTTGAAAACAGCATCGTTCGCTGCACTATCCAACTCAGAAGCGAAATTGTCGACTTGGACGATAGTTGAATCCCAGTCTTGAGGTCGAAGCTTGAAATCACCTACTGGCGGGGCTCGTTGCACCTTGATCCATCCATCCTTGTCTGGGGATTTATGGCCGGATTGTTTGGTCTGCTTGTCAGCGGCGTCAGACAAAAGGACCTTGCGCGCAGCGCCCGAACTTCCTTTGCCTTTACCCCTGCTAGGTGTAGTCCCTGAGGAAGCATCAGAACTGCGAAGATCAGCACCACTCGCCTGTTGCTCTGGTTGTCCTGGTTTGCCCCCTTCGCCTTTGCCATCACGTCGTCGCCTTTTGCGCTTGCCTTCATCATCGTTAGACTCATTGCATTCGCGAGCCCCATCTCGGGCACTGGGAGACGGGCCAGCAGTGAAAGCCTCACGGATTGCCTGTTGAACCATTTCCCGTATCATGATCTTGATCTCTTCCAGGAAGTCAGCTCCCAGAATGGACATAGCAGCAGGTCCTGGGTTTTTCGCTTCCCCCACTCTGCACCCGCTCCACGGGTTGAAACCCCAATCCTCGAGCACCGCAGCAAAGAAAGTGACTCCGCCCGCAAAACATGAGAAACTTGAAGTTGAAGTAGGTGTGCCTGAAATTGACGGTTCGCACTTCGGAGGCTCAGCATAACAGTCAGGCTCAACCAGGAACGGGTCTTGGAAGAGGGCTTGTTCGAAACCCTTACCCGGATGAACGCTGGCACTACCATGACCGTCCTTGATTGTATAGCCGCACCAAAGCGAGACATCTTCGAGTCGGGAGCCTGGTTCCTTCGTATCCTCATCCCCTGCGATGTGGTACGTCTGAAGCTCACACTCAAAACACACGTCGATCATGTCGAATAGTTCGGACTGAACGCAGTAAAGCTCAAACTCCTCATGGGCTGTCACTTTAGCAGCCGTCGTATCAAGGACATCGGCCTCATGCGACACTGCAACTTCGCACAGCCATGCGTCCTCATCTGGCAGCACGCCTAGCTCCATCCCAGATATCCATGCACAACTGCACGGAAAGCCCTTCGAAATGAGGGACGACTGCTGTTTCTTGCACCTAAGTAGGTGTCGCTGCTTCACGGTTTGTGTTTTGGCCCACATGGCCTCGATTTGCTCAAAATCAATGTAGGATTGGATGCCCCGAGCTCCCCACTCCTTTGGCATCATATGGAATTTCATAGCGCCACTGTCCCCCTGGACAGTAACCCTACTTGGCACTCGTGTGCTGGGATTGTAGCCGACCCCCTTGGCCATAGAGAGAAGGTTCTGGTTCTGCAGATCTTTTTCCATCTTTCTCATCAAGCTCGCATGGTCTTTAGGCTGGTAAGCCCCAAGACCTCCAGAACTCGGCGCCATTGCGCAAGTCTATCAGACTAGGAGAAGTTTGCTACCTGTGGCCTCAGGCACCCGGCTCAAATCGCGTGGAGATCTCTCCTGCTTGAGCCTGTGGTCTCATGAGCGCAATGGGGCCGCCGTGGTGAGCTACAGGCGTTGGGAGGGTGTTCGCGCGTGTGGGCCCGCGGTCTCCCACGGTCTCCGATCATGAGCGCAACGGGGTTGGGCGGGTGTCACGCGGTCCGGGTCCGGTCTCCCGTGATCTCCGATCATGAGCGACAGGGGTTGAGAGGGTGTCACGCGCTTGGATTCGTGGTCTCGCATGGTCTCCGACCATGAGCGCAATGGGGCCGGGCGGGTGTCACGCGGTTCGGGTCCGTGGTGAGCGACCTCGCCCACGCTTTAATGCGTTCAGCTGTTTTCGCCTTCTAAAAAGTGCACAAAGAGAGCATGGCGTTGCAAATGTGGAAAGCAAGACCAAATGCGTTTTTTAGGCCTGGCAAAATGCATTCGGGCAGCGCTTGGACATCCATGTCTACTGGTATTTTACGACCAACATTTCCCCGACATGCATCTGAGGGCATTCCACATGCATTTTTCGTCGCCCGAAAACGCATTTGGCACTGGTTTCCTATCATGTTGCAATCTTGGGTTTTGCCGGCTGAAATTTCATGTCTTTCTGCGCATAAGAACATATATATAGGATTTGAACGCGTTTAGAACCATAATCACCGTTTCGCAAAATTCCCGAAAAGGGGCCTAAAATCAGAAGCAACATGCCCAGATGCATTTTGCAAAGCAGGCAAAATGCATTCGCGCAGCTTGCTCCTTCCAAAACCACAATAAAAAACTCGCTTGATAGCTGACTTTTGTGTCAAAGACAGAGGCCCCGTACGGAAGAAGCCAAAGTCCGAATGCATTTTTTGCGTGTGCCCAAATGCATTCAGCTGTTTTCGCTTTGAAAAAGTGCAGAAAGAGCACGCGGCGTTGCACATGTGGAAAGCAAGACCAAATGCGTTGTTCAGGCCTGGCAAAATGCATTCGGCAGCATCTGGTCATCCATGTCTATTCGGTTTGCTCCATTACAGCGTGAAAAACAAACGAGAACAACAAAAAATAGATTGGTGTTTTACGACCAACATCTACCCGACATGCATTTCTAGGGCATTCCAAATGCATTTTGCGTCGCCCGAAGAATGCATTTGGCACTGGTTTCCTATCATGTTCAGTCTTGGTTTCTGCTGGCTCATGACGTATTCGATTCTTCTGATGTGTTTTCTGTGCATAAAAGTAGCTGTAGGAATTGAAAAACGTGTTTAGAACAATGCTCGACATTTTGCAGGAGTACCGAAACAGACCCAGAATCAGGAAGAACATGCTCAGGTGCATTTTTCAAAGTAGGCAGAATGCATTCGCGCAGCTTGCTCCTTCCACAACCACAATAAAATTGAGTTAACCGCTGATCTTTCGTCGTAAAGACAAGCTGCGTACAGAATAGGCGAATGCGCAACTGCATTTTTCGCGCGTGCCTCAATGCACTCAGCTGTTTTCGCCTTTGAAAAAGTACAGAAAGAGAGAGCATGGCGTTGCAAATGTAGAAAGCAAGACCAAACGCATATTTCAGGCTTAGCAAAATGCAGGTGGGCAGCGCTTGGACATCCATGTCAATCCATCGTTTGGATTGGGAAAGGGTTGTTCCGACCCCTGGCAGCTCCAAAGAGAAGCCTGAAACCCACGCCTCCATACTGAGCCCAATTTTTCTGATTGTAAACTCGGCCTGCCGAATTCTACGCGTCGCGTTATTGCTTCATGCCGCTTTCCCTTGATCTGCAATCTTACTGTTTGGGGTCTTCGCCGGCATAATATGTGTATAAACATAGTATTTTAAAGTATATAATGAGTTTTTCCCCAAACAGGAGCCGTTTGGGGTCCTCTCCTCAAAAAAAAGCGTCACGCGCTTGGCCAGATGGGTGTCACGCGCTTCGGGCCTGTGGTCTCCCATGGTCTCCGATCATGAACACAATTGGGCCATTGGAGCCGGGCAGGTGTCATGCGCTCGCGCCTGCGGTCTCCCATGGTCTCCGATCATGAGCACAATTGGGGCCAATTGGGGCCGTCACGCGCTTCGGGCCTGTGGTCTCCCATGGTCTCCGATCATGAGCACAATTGGGGCCAACTGGGGCCGGGTGGGTGTCACGCGCTTCGGGCCTGTGGTCTCCCATGGTCTCGGATCATGAACACGATTGGGGCCATTGGGGTCGGGTGGGTGTCACGCGGTCTCCCATGGTCTCCGATGATGAGCGCAATTGGGGCCATTGGGGCCGAGTGGGCGCTCGGCCTGCGGTCCCATGGTGTCGTCTTTCATGGTCTCCGATTATGAGCGAATTGGGGGCATTGGGGCCGGGCGGGTGTCACGCGCTCGGGCCTGTGCTCTCCCACACAGTCTCCGATCAGAGCGCAATTGGGGCCACTTGGGGCCGTGTCACGCGCTTCGGGGACTGTGGTCTCCCATGGTCTCCGATCATGAGCGCAATTGGGGCCATTGGGGCCGGGTGGGTGTCGCTCTCGCATGGTCTCCGATCGGTCAATTGGCGGTTGGGTGTCGCGCGCTTCGGCCCCGTCTCGGATGGTCTCATGGCCTCCCGACCGCCGATCATGAGCGCACTGGGGCTGGGCGGGTGTCACGCGGTTCGGGTCCGTGTTCCCCCACGGTCTCCGATCACGAGCAAAGGGTTGAGGGTGTCACGGTTCCATGGTCTGCGGGCGGGTGTCGGGCGATTCGGGCCCGTGGTCTCAGTGACAGGGGTTGGGAGGGTCTGGGGCGGTTGGGTCCGTGGTCTCCCACGGTCTCCCGTCATGAGCACAATGGGGCTGGGCGGGTGTCACGCGGTGGTCCGATCATGGGGCCGGCAGGTGTCACGCGGCCCGGCTCCGTGATCTTCATGGTCTCCGATCATGAGCGACAGGGGTTGGGAGGGTGTCGCTCGCTGGGTTCGTGTTTCCGGCTTGTCCCATCATGAGCGCAATGGGGCTGGGCGGGTGTCGCGCGCTCCGGCTCCGTGGTCTCCCATGATCTCTGATCATGAGTCACGCGCTTGGACTCGTGGTCTCGTATGGTCTCCCATCATGAGCGCAATGGGGCCGGACGAGTGTCACGCGGTTCGGGTCCGCGGTGACGCGCTTGATGGTCTCCCATAAATCATCTGGGAGGGTGTCACGCGCTTGGGTCCGTGGTCTCCCATGGTCTCTGAGCACGCTGTGGGGGTGTCACGCAGTCCTGTCGTGGTCTGTCATGGTGTCCGATCATGAGCGACAGGGGTTGAGAGGGTGTCACGCGCTTGGGTTCGTGGTCTCCCAACATCTCCGATCATGAGCGCAATGGGGCCGGGAGGGTGTCACGCGGTTCGGGTCCGTGGTGAGCTACGGGCATTGGGAGGGTGTTCGCACGTTTGGGTCCGCGGTCTCCCACGGTCTCCGATCATGAGCGCGTGTGGGGCAGGCGGGTGTCACGCGGTCCAGGTCCGTGGTCTCCCGTGATCTCCGATCATGAGCGACACGGGTTGAGAGGGTTTCACGCGCTTCCCATGGTCTTCGACCATGAGCGCAATGGGGCCGGGCGGGTGTCGCGCGGTTCGGGTCCGGGGTGGCGCGAGCGCAATCTCGGCGGATGTCACGCGGTCCGGGTTCATGGTCTCCCGTGGTCCGATCATGGGGCTGGCGGGCATCACGCGGCCCGGCTCCGTGATCTTCATGGTCTCCGATCACGAGCGACAGCGGGTGTCGCGCTTGGGTCCGCGTGGTCTCCGATCATGAGCGCAGTGGGGCTGGGCGGGTGTCACGCGGTTCGGGTCCGTGGTTTCCCATGGACTCCGATCATGAGCAACAAGCTTGGGAGGGTGTCACGCGCTGGGTTCGCGGTTTCCTGGCTTCTCCGAGGGGTTGAGAGGGTGTCACGCGCTTGGGTTCGTGGTCTCCCAGCATCTCCGATCATGAGCGCAATGGGGCCGCCGTGGTGAGCTACAGGCATTGGGAGGGTGTTCGCGCGTGTGGGCCCGCGGTCTCCCACGGTCTCCGATCATGAGCGCGTGTGGGGCAGGCGGGTGTCACGCGGTCCGGGTCCATGGTCTCCCGTGATCTCCGATCATGAGCGACAGGGGTTGAGAGGGTGTCGCGCGCTTGGACTCGTGGTCTCCCATGGTCTCCGACCATGAGCGCAATGGGGCCGGGCGGGTGTCACGCGGTTCGGGCCCGTGGTGAGCGACCTCGCCCGCGCTTTAATGCGTTCAGCTGTTTTCGCCTTCTAAAAAGTTCACAAAGAGAGCACGGCGTTACAAATGTGGAAAGCAAGACCAAATGCGTTTTTTAGGCCTGGCAAAATGCATTCGGGCAGCGCTTGGGCATCCATGTCTACTGGTATTTTACGACCAACATTTCCCCGACATGCATCTGAGGGCATTCCACATGCATTTGGCACTGGTTTCCTATCATGTTGCAATCTTGGGTTCTGCCGGCTGAAATTTCATGTCTTTCTGCGCATAAGAACATCTATAAATAGGATTTGAACGCGTTTAGAGCCATAATCACCGTTTCGCAAAATTCCCGAAAAGGGGCCTAAAATCAGAAGCAATATGCCCAGATGCATTTTGCAAAGCAGGCAAAATGCATTCGCGCAGCTTGCTGACTTTTGTGTCAAAGACAGAGGCCCCGAATGCATTTTTTGCCTGTGCCCAAATGCATTCAGCTGTTTTCGCTTTGAAAAAGTGCAGAAAGAGCACGCGGCGTTGCACATGTGGAAAGCAAGACCAAATGCGTTGTTCAGGCCTGGCAAATGCATTCGGCAGCATCTGGTCATCCATGCCTATTCGGTTTGCTCCATTACAGCATGATAAACAAACGAAAACAACAAAAAAATAGATTGGTGTTTTACGACCAACATCTACCCGACATGCATTTCTAGGGCATTCCAAATGCATTTTGCGTCGCCCGAAGAATGCATTTGGCACTGGTTTCCTATCATGTTTAGTCTTGGTTTCTGCTGGCTCATGACGTATTCGATTCTTCTGATGTGTTTTCTGTGCAGAAAAGTAGCTGTAGGAATTGAAAAACGTGTTTAGAACAATGCTCGACATTTTGCAGGAGTACCGAAACAGACCCAGAATCAGGAAGAACATGCTCAGGTGCATTTTTCAAAGTGGGCAGAATGCATTCGCGCAGCTTGCTCCTTCCACAACCACAGTAAAATTGAGTTAACCGCTGATCTTTCGTCGTAAAGACAAGCTGCGTACAGAAGAGGCGAATGCGCAACTGCATTTTTCGCGCGTGCCTAAATGCACTCAGCTGTTTTCGCCTTTGAATAAGTACAGAAAGAGAGAGCATGGCGTTGCAAATGTAGAAAGCAAGACCAAACGCATTTTTCAGGCTTAGCAAAATGCATGTGGGCAGCGCTTGGACATCCATGTCAATCCATCGTTTGGATTGGGAAAGGGTTGTTCCGACCCCTGGCAGCTCCAAAGAGAAGCCTGAAACCCACGCCTCCATACTGAGCCCAATTTTTCTCATTGTAAACTCGGCCTGCCGAATTCTACGCGTCGCGTTATTGCTTCATGCCGCTTTCCCTGGATCTGCAATCTTACTGTTTGGGGTCTTCGCCGGCATAATTGGTAAATATTTATGGGGTTAGGGGTAGGGCGCTAAGGGCGGTGGGGGGCGCCATGGGTCGGAGTGTGGAGCCCTTCAGGTTCAGCTTTTTCAGCTGGGCGGGAGACGGGGGCGGACGGGCAGGGCGCCTGCCCCCATGGCATGGGGACATGGGGGGGGGGGGGGCTAGAGTCAAGAGTGGAGCCCGTCAAGTCCAGCTTCCTCAGCCCAGTGGGTAGAGTGGAGCCCGTCAAGTCCAGCTTCCTCAGCTTAGGTATGGGGCCTTCAAGTCCAGCTTCCTCATAGGCATGGGGCGCAAGGGCCATGGCTCAGGCGGCCATAGGGCAGGGCGCCTGCCCCCATACGAGGGGCCCAAGGGCCGGGCAGGGGGGCGGAGTGGAGCCTTCGGTGGTGAGCCATTATCTGCGGAGGGGCCATGAAGCCAAGGGTCGGAGCGGGCGAAGCCATTGCCGAGGGGGAGGGGAGGGCGAAAGCACGGCGCAAGGCATGGTGCTTTTTCGGTCAGGGGGCCATGGGTCGGAGCGGGCGGAGCCATAGAGGGGGGGGGGAGGGCGGAAAAGGCGGAGAGGGCGGGAAGCGGAGTGGCTGAGGCCAGTGCCATGGAGGCCTTGGGGTCATGGGGGTATGAGGGCGTGGAGCCATGGGGGTCATGGTGCATGAGCGGGAGTGGGCGTATGAACCCATGGGACGAGCCTGGGAAGGGGCTGGAAAGGCACGGGTCGGAGCGGGCGGAGCCATAGAGCCACTGCCGCTGGGGTCGGCGGATATTGCAAGGGTGGTGGGGGGGGTGGGGGGGGGGGGGGGGGGGGGGTGGGGGGGGGGGGGGGGGGGGGGGTGGGGGGGGGGGTGGGGGGGTTGAGGAGGGGGTGGGAGGGGGTGTGTGGGAACTTTCTATCACCTAAGTGCAGGGCTTTCGGTCCTGTGGCTCTTACCACAACATCTCATATGGCGTGACAAAATCAACGGACCCCTAACACACTGCCAGGTCGGAGTCTCTGCATGGCCTGCGGTATAGCCTCCGTTGGGGCGAGGAGGTCGACGGTGCATGTGGGCGCTTGTCCAACCCCGGCTTTACAGCGTTGTTCTGCGCCGTCTGCTCGAATGTGGTCTGCATGGACCCCTTTCGGGTCCGGAAGCTGGTGGTTGGCATTTGCCAACTGGCAGGGAATCTACCCCCTTCTTGCAGTCCATGCAAGGCAGGCGGCAGGTGCAGTGTTGGGAGGTGGGACGGCCAGCCACATCAGAATCGCGTGTCGTGGATGTTCTCCAGACGGGCCCAGTGACTTAACTTGCCTGAGGGCTTGACACACATGACGCGCCCGTGTGCCTGCATCCAGTTGCGTGGCAGATCGAAGCATCGCAGCGGTGTCCGGAAATGGTGCGCCTGCCTCCACATGCCTCCTGCTTAGCCCAGGGCCCAAGGGCCACACATCCAAGCTTTTGAAGCCGACGATCGCTAGCAAGAAATTGCAGTTGTTTACTAGTGTACCGAGGAGACGAGCCTTTTGTGGAGTGATGGCGCCTGAGCAAGGTTGCGCCTAGGTCAGATTGGGAGCCCCCGAGGGCCCCGAGCGTCCCGAGCGCCCCGAGCGCCCCTCCATGGCCTTCGCTCTCGAAGACCTGCGACTTGGCAAACTGCAATTCGCTTGACCTGAAAAGCTGCAGGCATGCTCGGCATGCACTCATTCTCCAGCGCGCAGAAGAGAAGCAACGCGAGAGCCCTGCTTCAGCGATCCGAGCTGCTGTGGTGGCAACGTGGCCCGAGGCCATGTCAGGCAAAATGATGCAAAATGCTAAGAACCGCTGAGAGCCCGAGCGGTGCTTTCTGTCGGCAAGCCTCGGCTCAGCCACCCCGCCTAAGGAGGTTCACACGTCTTCGGTGCCGAGTTCCCGCGTACGCGTCTCGCGGCACCCATGAAAACCCCGTGCCCCGGAAAAGTTCCGCCAGATGCACTGTGGGCGCACGCGGCGCGCTGTGTGCATTGCGATGTCGAGCGCTTCTCTCAGCCAACAGAATGACCGCTTGCAAAGCCCAGAACCCTTGCCCGCTGATGCTATTCACGCTTTAAACAGCTGTAACCGAGCATATCCTAAGGTTTTAAGGGCTTCTCTCAGCTCAGGGAATTGAGACTTGCATGCCAAGTATGCTTTCATTCCTTCGTCGTTGAGGCAGCCGAAGAGTGCGAGACGGTTCTTTTCAGCGTGTCCTCTTGAAAAGGCAAATGGCAGGCAACTGCTTCAAAGTATCGACCTGCCACGAAGCAGATGGTCTTGCTTCTGCGGTTCGGGTGATGTAAGCCCGCACTTTTCATAGTTCAAAGGGCCAACGGTGAGGTCACACCAACTCTCGAGACTTGGGAGTGTGTGAGAAAGGTGAAGAACACCTGCAAGCGCAAGGAACACATCGGTCCGGCCATCGGCTCGCTCCCTGCGCTCCCAGCGCTGCCTGTGCTCCCTGTGGACTCTGCGAGCTGCAAACAGTGGAATGCCAGAAGTTTCTGCCTTGCCGCGATCTCATGATCTCTGCCATTCTGAGAAAGCCGAAGGGGCATGAGTCATGAGTCTCATGAGTGCTCCTTGCTGCGCATAGCATGGCATAGCCTGTCTTCTGACAAAGCTCGAAGAACACTCCCATACACCACCTTCCACTTTTTCCTGCGCGCTGCCACCCCTACCGCGCTGGAGCAGCCTTGTCAGAAGGAGGCGAGAGCGGGATGAGGGGAACACCGTCAAGATGCCGGACACTCTCACGGGTTTCGCCGGGCACTTGGCAATATGCGCCGGTGCCGTTCTTACATAAAGCAAGACGCTGCGTGTGAAGACTGCTGCGGGTGCCTCACAGGGTGCCCCATGCTTTTCGCGAGATCTGGCTTGTGCAGCAACCAGGGCGACTGCCGACACGCAGCTTTGAGCGATGGACAATCCCGAATCCGCTAATGCAGTTGCACGAACCGGTTAATTCTCGAGCTCTTCATTGTGCACCTCGGCGGCGTTTTGGCGCATTCTGCGCGTTCCTCAACACCGGCTGCACTTTCCATCGGCCACGTCTTGCAACTCTGCAGAGAGAGCTTGCTGCAAGTTGCCTTCAGTGGGTGGCCTTCCCAAAGCCTGCTTTTGAAGCTTTGGGCTTCATCCTTCAAAGAACTCTGATCGAGGCGAAGCCAGTGAAGCGGATGCTATGCGGTGCCATGACCTGGTGCTTTCGCTGGCAGAAAATGTCTGAGGCAAAAAGGGTTACGGGGCGGGTACGAGTCAGATCCACGAATTTCGAAGGCGTGAGAGCCTCAGTGAGAGCCTGAGAGCTTCGTCCCGAAGGCTTGCATACATTTGCCCCATGCGAGCTTCTCAAGACAACACACCGCAGGCAAGCACAGATCCGCACAGCGCATCGTTGTAAATGTTAGCCATGAAGACTTGCAAGGGCACATGAATCGTGAGTCCCCGTTGCCCAGTTGCTTCTACTTCTAGGACTGACCGCCATGGACGTGGGACTTGCGGCCACGTATGGGGCGATCAACAGCTCTCCGACGATCTCCACGCTGACGCTCCTGTCTGGAAAGCATGAGAATCTCGGCCCAGAAGGTTTTTTTTTGCAGTGTTCCCAGTGTTCCTTTTGCATTTGCGGTTGTAGGGGTTCTTGTTTCTTTCAAAGAGTTCCGACGTAGCTCTGGCCGGGTCCCTGGACTCTTTGTCTGCCCCGCTGGTCTCCCCTTTGTCATTTTTGCCCCGTTTCTGTGTGGCCTCGGCCGGGTCCCTGGACTCCTTGTCTCCAAGGGGCCCAGGTGAAGGAGGACCAGGAGGGGAGACAAGCAAGAATCCAGGGACCCGGCCAAGGAGGAACCAAAACCCGCTTCATGTGGTCTCGACCGGGTCCCTGGGCCTGCCTTCAATGGCCTCCTTTCGTCGGCTTGGTCTTGTGCTTCGGTTCCTGCGGTTCGATTTGGTTCGGGAAGCTTGCTGAAAGTTTTGCGTGGCTCCTTCCGCATTCTCTTTCGGGGAAAAGCCCGTTGAACTGCAGTCTGTGAACGCACCAGACGACCCTTAACTGTTTGGAGTCTTCATTGGCGGGGTCTTGTTGTTCTATGTTCAGTGCGGCCCCGTCGTAGTGAGTGCACAATGCACGGAGAATCGACATTCTGCCAGTCCTCAGCCGCCCTGAGGATGCTCGAAGCAGAGCTGCGGAAGGCCGTGGATGCGCTGGTGGACATGAACCCGGTGCTGTCTGGCCGCGTATGGCAGAAAGACGGTCGCATCCTGCTGGAGACCAAGGCGCATGAAGAGTTCCTCCGCGTGTACCCCGCGCCCTCAGAAGCTGCGCAAGCTGCGCCGGCTTCACTCGAGGAGTTGGACTTGAAGTCGAAGATCCGGTTCCTTGAGGCGGTGGAGGTCTCACTTTGTTCGCCCATGGACGGGCGCTTCACGCTGGGACACGGCAGCCAGGTCTTCCTGGTGGAGTTGATGAAGTTGAAGGAAGACATGTGGGTCATAGGCATTCACCTGTCGCACATTGTGGGGGACATCCAGACGTTCTACGATTTGGTGGAGCAGCTGAATGCACTGCTGAAAGGTGAGAAGCCCGAGCCGCTTGTTTGGGACAGCGACTGGAGGCTCAAAGTCGATCTTTTCCCCGACTCGCTCAGCGAGAGAGATCGCCGAAACCTGCGCTGGGGTATCTTGGGATGGCTCTGTCAGAAGCTCTGCGGCCCAAGGCGCCTGTGCCATGTCTCCGTACTCTCCAAGCCGCAACTCGAGGAGAAGAAGAAGGAGCTGGGTGAGCGTCTCTCCAGCAACGACCTGGTCTGTGCGGCCCTTTCCCGGGCCATTCGAGGCTCGAACGGGACAGGGTCGGAGAGGGCAGAGAGAGCAGAGGGGCGGGGGGGCAGAGGGAGAGAGAGCAGCCAATGCCAGAGCAGTTGAAAGCAGCCTGCGGATGCTTCAGTGTCCGTGCGGGGGAGGAGTTTCACAGTCCGGGGCAAGCGAGAGTGAGGATGTGGGTTCCTCCCCAAAAGTCTGTGCGCTGCCGTGGAGGTTCCGACATTATGAATCTGGCCGTGAACCTGCGGAAGCGAGCGGGGCAAGCACAAGGGCAAAGAGTCGCCGGGAACTTCTGGCAGACGGTGGCCCTGGACCACGATGCCGCCAAGGACCCCCAGACGATCCGGCAGCACCTCCCCAAGCTTCAGTTCTTCAAGACCGACGAGATGCCTTTTTGGCCCTTTGGACATCTTCCTCTCACATTTTTTTTGGCACAGAGAGAGGGCCCTTCTTGTTGTTTTTGTGTTTCATCTTTTCAGGTGCTGATGGTATGTAAGTATGTGCGAATGTGCCCGTGTGAATTTGGCTGCAGAGATTGTCGGGGTCTCCTCGGCAGGCCCTATGCCCTTGGGCGCTACAGCTTCGTCACCAACTGGACGGCTTGCACGCGCCATCTCTCGATTCCGGGATTGACCGTGCAATGCCATCTCCCCCATTCGAACTTCCTCAAGGCTCAGCAGCAAACAGCCTAAGAGTTGCAACAAGGCGCTGTCATGTCCTCCCTCCTTTCTTCATTTGAAGCTGAGCTCCCTGCGGTCTCCCCTTTCAGCCTCAGGGTACCCCGACGAACGTGGCGGTCGTCGCCTGGAAGCATTCTTCCAGTTTCGTGAGTGAGAGAGTTGAGGGAGTGGCAGAGGCAGAGGGGGAGGGAGGGGACAACGGAGAAAGCAACTCTCAGATGAGAGACCATAGGAAGACTCGAGCATGTGGGTTTTGGGAAGCTTGACCAATGAGATTTTCCACGTCGACGCCGAGACTCTGGGGCTCAGCCACAATGCCCCTTGAACCGGAGAGACCGGACACGCGTTTTACCAGTTGTTTACCAGTGCTTACCAGTGCTTGCGCAGTGTTGGGGCTCGGACTCGAAGAGTCCAAGAAGGTCCCTCCAGCGAGCCTGGACACCACGGGGTTGCTGGGCCGGTGCCCCAGACACTCTAAACGCCTCTGAGCAGTGCGAATGCAGTCTCCCAATGCTCTCTTGCTGCTCTCTTAGGTGCGTTGACGCTCTGACTTGATCACCGTCCCCGCCGCATTCCTCCGCTGTCGCCTTCCGGGGCAAAAAAGGGGATTCCCTCCCACTGGGCTCAAGTGTTCTGCACAGATCTGCTGGCCTACTGGTCGATGAGACGTGGCAGTGTAGGGCCTAGGGTGTGAACGCAGCTGGCTTGAGTTTCCTGGTTAGCGGGCCTGCTTCTCGGGATCCCAATTTGCAGGCGCCGCGCCTCAAAAGGATTCCACGAGCTTCTGAAAAGATTCAAAGTGATTCCTCCTCCACCGTTTCGTGATTCGGCGAATTTCGGCGTGTTTTTTTTCGCACTTTCTCCCTGCAGGGCCTGGGATGCATGCGTCGCGCTGGCTGGTGACTACGGCAGCCTATGGCTCGGCGTGGAGCGCGCTGACTGCGTTGCCGGACGGGGAGAGGGAATGAAAAGCAGAAAGCATGGAGCAAAGCATCTTTTTACAGAGCAAGATGCCGCAAGAGCTGCTTTGTCGGAAGGCATCACGGCCGGAGACCTCTTGGCCGAACGCGAAGACGGTTAAATGCCATCAAGAGGCAGAGCTAAACATGCCCTCGCAGTCTCGCTCTCTCTCTCTCTCTCTTTATCTTTTTTTTTTCTCGCTCTCTCTCTCTCTCTCTCGCTCTCCCTCTCCCTCTCCCTCTCCCCCTCCTCTCCCTACCCCTCTCCCTCCTTCCCTCTCTCTCTCTCTCTTTCTCTCTCTCTCTCTCTCTCTCTCTCTCTGTCACGTCGTATCTGCGACCCCGCGGAGGCGCCGGCGGCTGGCTTCGACAAGCTCGATCGCCTCTGGCACACCATCGAGGAGAGGAAGGCGATCGAGCGAGAGAGGGAGAGAGATTACAATTGAGCAGCTCTGCCCCAGTGATCCTCAGTGCAAGCCAGCTGGAAATGTAACATAATGTAACACTCTACTTGGACACTGCAACTATCGCGTAGGGGCCGGTTGCCAGTTGCAGGCACGCACCCAAGACGCCGGCCGCTCCTGGACCAGCTCCGTGTCATCTGTGTCACTGAGTCCTATGTCGCTGCATCTCTGCAAGCTTTCCCCTGCGGTGACAGGACCGCGCGCCTGCTCGCCAAGGGCACCGACAAGTGCGCGCAGAAGGCGAGGGGAAGGAAAACCCTCATGGGAGGAGCTTTCAAGTCATGAGCTGCGACGTCAGCTTTTTGTCTAGGTCGGAGAGGAGGCCACGGAGGTCTGCATAGAGGCGCTCTCCATGCTGAAGGGGGCGTCACTCACCGCTTTCCCATGTTTCATTTCTTCCTCGCGCTTCGTTCTTTGAGTTGCGCATTTGCATTTGTCACTTGGTCCTAGCGTTTTTGAAGTTTCCAGAATTGCTCTCTCCATCTTTTGCCAGGCGGCAGCCCGGAGACCCACAGGCGTGGTGAAGGAGTCTGCCGACCTGGCCGGGGCCATCGTTGCTTTTTCTTTGCCGTGTGATTGGCTGGGAAGATGGGGCTTAGCGAATCTCTCTGCGACTTCGTTGGCCTGTGCCTGCGCACTGTGTTGCATCACATTGCATCGGCTTTTCGCGCAGCTCTTCCACCTCCTGGTGTTGTGGGCATCCATGGGCATCGAGCCCGGGCAGGTGTGAGCGCCTCAGGTCTATCTGGCTCCAGGATGTGTGTCAGAATGTGTGTTGTCTGACATGGCAGAGGCTTGATGAGCTGGCACGGAGGGAGGCCGCCCCAAACATCCCCAAACCCTTGCAGCGAAACCCGCGAGCACAGCGCATTCGTGTTGCCCGATGTTGCTCCTGTCTACCAGGGCACCAGCGGTGTCGATGAGAAGGAGTCACGCCCACGATGAGGCCCTGTGACTACATCTTGTTGTCACAAGTCGACCCGAAAGTAAACTCAGAGACGCATCTTTTTGCTTCCGCTCCACAGGTGACAACCACCAACAGTGAGGAAGAGCGAACGACAGTGTCCGATGATAAATTTCGGTTAGGCAAGTGCCCGTTTCCAACCTTTCGGCCTGTAGGGCCCGGGAACGGGTGCTCACCGCACTGTGCGGCTTCGCAAAAAGGCTTGAACCATTGTGTCACCTGCTGTCCGTGCAAACTGTCTGCTTCACGAAGACGTGGTAAAAAACAGCATGTTAATCAAACACTCGTCGAGCCACTATAGAGGCTCTATTCTTGAGGGTCTAGCCGACTGGCGCTCAGGTGGAGTGGGAAGGCGGGACAGGCGATACGGATCGGGATCGATACGCATCGATTCGGTGTTGTTCTTGAATGTCAAGACGCACCATCTAAGCCCGCTACAACAGCGGCCGGTAGTGCACCAGTACCATGTACCATTGCACGCTGTGCTGTACAGTATGAGGTCAAAATGCGGAGCGGCAGCGGGGTGGTGGGGGGGCAGAGCAAAGGCTTGACTTGACTCGAGATGGCATGATCCGGGATTCCCAACCGTTGCCGTCCAACCTCTCAAAGCTGGGCAACAGTGGGTTGTCCGGGAACTCCAAGGCCCTTCCAGGTAGGCCGCGTTTGCTCGGAGACCCCTGAACCTGTCAGAGGATGGCGGGCGCAGCGGGCAAGGCTGCGGCGCGCGGCAGGCGAGATCAGATCCGCTCCTGGTAGTTCCTGAACTACCAGTGTTTTGTTGTGAGAGGGCATCTCAGCTTATCGTTCTGCGGTTCCACAGGCTCCGATGGCTGGCAGCCGTGGCTTGGAAGAGGGATGTTCGCTCATAATTATTTCGTTTGGCTTGAAACGAATTCAAGACACAATGTGACTCGACACTTGAGACCGACGGCCAGCCTCGTCTCCGCCATTTTATTCTGTCTCTCTCTCTCTCTCTCTCTCTGTGCGAGTCAAAAGTCTAGGTATGTAACGGGCTTCCGGGCGTCTTTCCGCGACATAGGGCTTGTAACAAAGCCGTTCTCCTTGCGACAAGCAGCGTCCGCGACAAACCTGCGCGACAAGCCTCCGCGACAAGCCTGTGCGACAAGCCCCTTCTTATATGAGTATGCCATGTCGCTACGCAGGCAAGCATTTGTGAGCTCTTCTTTGGAACTGTGCAGGTGAAGCCCTGAATGCAACGGTTATGGGTACCCGCTCCGCGACATGCCCTGCGACATACCGCGACATACCCGCGACAAGTCATCAAGTGGCCCTGGCCAATACTTACCTGTTTTCCGATCGCCTCATGTGTCGCGAGAAGCCGCGCCAATTGGGGGCACCTGTGGTGCAGGTCAGGCAGGGTTGAGAAGTCGGCTATAGTTCGGCTATGTTGCTGTTGAAGTACGGATTTCATATTACCCTCTTCAAGAGCAGCGTGCGAAACAGCCGCGACAAACCCCGCGACATACGTATGAAACAAGTGGGCGCGACATACGCATGTAACACAGGCGGGGGGCGGGACACCGCGACATACCCCCATTTAGACCCACAGCCCTCTCTCTCTCTGTCGAAAGATGAGGTTCTTGCGGCCCTGCTGGCCTGCCTGGCGCCGCGAAGCTTCTGTGCAAGGCCGGGGGGGATCATCCCTGAGAGTCCTTCCGTCCCTTTTCCCCCCATGAACGGCCCTGAGCCTTAAGCCATTCTCTCTTTATGTTTTCCTCCCTTCGCCGCCCCCTCGACCCCTCTTTGTGTGTGAAGCAGAAAGAGGGTGGTGTGATGGTGTACGGAGGCCCGGCGGGGCCACGCTGGCAGGCCGGAGCCCCGCTCTGGTGGTGCTTTTGGCTCTTCATGATTTTGTTTTTTCTTCTTCTTCTTTCTTTACCCTTCTTGTTGGCGGCTTTGTTTTGTTGTTGCAACACTCTTGCAGATTTTGAGGGTTAGGGTTGTCGATGTGCTTTGCGAGCTGTTCTTCCTCCCGCGATGTCTTCTGCCCTCAGCCCAGGCCAGAAGCCTCCCGGTTTCTTGACCCAGGCCCTCAGAATTTGTTTTTGATCTTCTGGTGACTTGAAAAAGTGGCCCCTGCGAGCAATTGCTGTTCCTCTGCCAGGCGACAACAGCGTCCGGCCACTTGCCTTCGCGCGGTGACCTCACAGGCCTGATCAGAACAGCAGCGGATCCCTTTACTTCTCATTCTTCATGTTTCTCTATCGTTTCCTCTCTCTGTTTTTCTGTTGCTCTTATTTCTCACGCTACCTCTTCCTACTTCTATTATCATTCTTTTTTCATTCATCTTTCACGACCTCCTTCTCTCTTCTCTCTTTTTGCTCCTCTCTTCTCTTTTATCACACCAGCTCTCCTTTTCTTCTTCAGAGGCTTCAGGGCCCAGGCGCGGGACTTCGGCGGCCAGCGCTCCGAGGACTTGTAGATGTCGTAAATTTTCAAGGTTTAGAAGTGCCTCATAAACCTCTTGAAGTGCCTTTTGTTCTCCACACCTCACCTCAGCAACACTCCTTTTGTGATACGCTCTGAGCTCCCCCCTCTGCTCCCTCTTCGCTTTTGCCCCCCCCCCCCCCTCTCCTTTCGGCTCTTCGTTGTTGTGGAGAGGGGCTCCTCACCGCCTGCGTGGCTGCCCTGTCCACGTGTGCCATGTCGGTGCTGCAAACAGCCTGAAGCCCAGCCGGCCCAGCCCAGATGAGCCCAGATCAGCCCAGCGATTCGTTTTTGATGTTGCAGTTTGGTGTGGCATTTCTCGTCATTCTGCATGCGCTGCATCGTTGGACCTGACATTCGAAGCTTCTTTGCTTGCAGCGTCACGCAGCTGTTGCCATGCCCTGGCCATGCCGCATGCCTGCCCCATGCCTGCCCCATGCCCCATGCCCCATGTCCCATGCCCCATGCTGTGCTGTACAGAAAGCCCGCAGCGAGTCACGTATCTTTCGTTAAGACCGCTCAGCACGAGCCCCCCCGCGCTTCGGGCGCTCCGGTTTACCCCGAAGCCTGGATGGCGATGGCTCTCCAAGGTGGGAGAGCGGAGGAAGAAGTGAGGAAGGGGTGAGAAAAGGAGTGAGAGAGAAGAGGAGTGAGAAAAGGAGAGAGAGAGAGGGGGAGGTGAGAAGAGGAAGAAGGTGAGTGGGGAGAAAGACGAGTGTCGGTGAGGCTTCTTGGGCCCGGCTCGCCGTGCTCCTCGTGCCCTCGGTGCTCTCCTCCCTTCTCCGAGGCCCCGGAGACACCTCTCTACTCTCTCTCTCTCTCTCTCTCTTCTTTCTCTTTTTTCTGTGGGATGTCTTGATTCTCCTTTCTAAGGACCTTCGCGTCCACCGAGGGCCCCTTCCTCTACCGCTTCAAAGCCAAGCGCCTGACCTGGAAGCCGGGCGCCCAGATCTCCAGCCGACGAGCGGAACCGAAACGGAGAGAGACGCACAGAGATAGAGAGACACAAAGAGCGAGGGAGAGAGAGAGAGAGAGAGTGAGAGTGCAGAAGAAGAAGAAGAAGAAGAAGAAGAAGAAGAAGAAGGAGAAGAAGGAGAAGACCAAGAAGAAAAAGAATACTAAGCTAAAAAGAAGAAGAATACTAGACATTTGCTGTGGGCGCCCCCCGCGCAGAGGGGGGGGGGGGGCCCGGGTGCAAGTACAGTGTAGTCCGGGGGGGCCCTCCTTCAAGCTCAGAAGGAAAAGCAGACACTTATTGAGAGAATCAATGCCAACCATGTTGCGGCTCAACGAACCCCACAGGTAGAGGAAGCAGAGACGAAACAGTAGAGCAAGATCATGTTGTCGTGGAGGAGAAGCTTGTCAAGCTTGTGCGTTTGCCCCCCCGCAGGCGTTGTGTGTTGGAGGTTGCTGCCAGCCTGTTTTGTGAGTGTGTCATATGGGTGACTGGTGGAGCTCCCCCACCCACTCGCTCCATCCCCTTCTTGTTGCAAAACTCGAGCTGGTGCTGATCTGACCCGTCGAAGAATGTTTGCACGTGACATCTTCGTGTGGGTCTCAGGAAACGGCACTACAATGCCTCGGCCTCACTCTTCCGAGCTCTTTCAAGCATTGCACGCTTCATGAGAGGCCCCAGCAAGGCTGTGTCATGGCTTTCTGCAGCTGAGGAAGTCCTTGTCATGGCGGACCGGCGGAAACTCATGGAGACGCTGCAGGCCCTCGGAAACGGATGTGGCACTCTGATAGTTGGCTGCGGCTTGTTGCGGGTCACAGAGGGCGCGGGCTTAGAATGCTCTGCATTCTGGCTTTTTCGAGGAAGTGATCGACTCACCTGACAAGGAGTTCCCCCGCCCTTTTTGGGAGGTTCTTTCCAAGAGGCCCTGGGAAACTCCAATGTATACCAGGCCGAAACTCTTGAGTTCAGGAGTGCAGATCAGGTGTATCAAGTCCATGCACCTTCTCGAACCACTCGAGCTGGCCATCCTCGCGCGGGCATTCGATCTTCACCAGCCGGATCTCCACAAGAGCATGGATATCTTCCAACCCTTAGCCACCCAGGCACGGCGACATCAGTGCGGCAGCGGTGCGTCGGCATCCGATAGGGCGGCCCTGATTCGTGTAGATGCAGGTGCGGAGCAGCTGCAGCTTTGCAGCGGCCTGAGCCAACAGTAGCGAGAGCGGAAGAGTTTTGGGTTAGTTTGGTTTAATTGGGTTAATTTCGCGGACTTTTTTTTGCTGCGCCGCTGGGAGGTTCCAGGCATGGCCGTCATTGCCTTGACGCAGATCCTCCCGCGACGGCTTCGCAGCACAAAGGACCACTCGGACCATTCGAGTAGAGACCCGTGCCAAGCCATACCCTATACTCAGCCTCGTGTACTTTGTGAACATCGCGACACAAGAGCAGTGATCCAGGAAGAGCTGGCCGATCTCATGAGGTTCTTTTCGAGGCTTTGTTTTTTTAATCTCTCTCTCTCTCTCTCTTTCTTGCTCTCTCTTTCTCGCTCTCGCCCATCCTGTGCCAAATCTTCTACACGCAGCGGTTAAGGCGCGCGGCCGACTGCATGTGGGACGCGAGCTGAGCAACCTCTGAGTCAGAGAGCCAGAGTCTCTTGTTGAGCCACATGTTTCGAATTTCAAATGAGAGTCAAGTTTGCCGCCAAAGAGGAGATACCGCTGGACTTTGCGGTTCGGCTCTTGCAGGCGCCTTCGTCGAAGATTGGAAAGCGTGAGTTCGTGAGTGGGGCAGAGCGTGTCGCACGCAATCTTGCTGTCCATATATACATATATATATATATACATATACATATATATACAGATATATACGTGTGTGTGTGTAGATATTTTCGTGCGATTGGAAGTGGTCATCCTCTGCCAAAAGCTGACGATCAAACACAAGAGGACAACAACGAACCTGTTTTGTGTGAGCTAGGTCTTTGTCGTAAAGAAAGGTCCGAACAGTGCGCAACAGTGTGAAGATGCCCAACGTCAAAAGAATGCCATGTTTGCACACTAGTTAAACTAAACTGCTGCGGGTCCATGGCCCGACCCCACAAGCCCGACCTGCGTTCACTGATTGATCGCGCGTCCGTGCAGAGTAGCATGCGTGGGCTTACAACAAAACAGGCGCTCGGCGTCGGCTGCGGATGCGAAGGGGCGTTGTCATGTGCAAATCTCGGCACATCATTGTAGACGCTGGCCGAACGCGGGGTGTAGTGTGATAGTAGTGTGCGCATCGCAGACGAAGCAAAGCCAAGGTCATGTGTCGCTTGGTGCAGCGCCACAACACGTCATGAGTTCAGGAGGTAGGGGGCTTCAGGAGGTTCTCAAAAAATCCCACGTGAAGGGGACAGACGTTTCTGTCCCAGGGCATGCAAACGTTCCGCTCGCATCCCTGCGGTCCCAAAGTAAAGTGGGGCCACCACAGCCCTTGCGCTGGGCTTGGGACATTTCTGTTTCCGACGAGACGTTGTGCAGGCAGATCTCCTTAGCCCCGTGATGGCATCCGACGTTCTTCTGCAACAGCTTTATTGCGGCCACACCAACCGGTACTCGTAGCGGGCTAGCAAGGAGTGCAACATGCGGGTCACAGCGCGTCGTGCGCTGGGATTTCCCGCATGGTGAGGAGACATCACTCTGACATGTATCATTATCATGTTTACATGGCGGAGCATTCCAGCACGCCATATCAAAAGCATCGGCTGGTTCCTCGAACCTCGCCGCTCAAGGCGGCGCCTGTACCACCGCCGACTCGTGGTGAAGGCCGACTTCGAGCGGAAGCGTTGGTACTCTGAACTTCGTCGGGGGCTCTCGAAGGCCCGTCTCCGATGCGGGGTCCAGAGAGGATCTCTCGCACGCCATAGCCGTCGGTCGGACCTGGTGAACCTCACAGTCGATGCCATCCTAAAGATCCTCGCCCCGGTGGCCGTCGACATAGAGTTCGCCACTGATGAAGCTGTCTTCTGAATGGTGTCTGAGTGCTGGCAAAACTGCGCAGTCGAGTGCACGATGCACTTCCGCATGTTCGCATTTGAACAGCAGCGGCGCTTGTCGTGCGACCGCCGAAGCATCGCTGAACGCCGCCCAGTTCAAGCCCTGTTTTTCGGCGGACTGTGCAGCCCGAATGCGCTTCGACGCAAAAGTGCTTTCGACTGCACGTCTGCTCATCTTGGATTTTAGAGAGTAGCGGCTCTTGTCTGTGTGTGTGTGTGTGTTTTGGCTTGTGTATGTCAGTGTATGTGCGAAGCTCCACAGGAGCTGTCGGCATCGGGCGTGAACGATGCCGCCCTTTGCCGCCGCGTTTCCCAGAAGTTGCAAGCCCGCCTGCGCCAAGACGCGTGGGCCTCCCGTGTACTTTAGCGGTAGCCGAAATACATCTAGCTCGCCATGTGCCAGGCTGGCAGGCCTTCCGCAGAACCTTCTGGGTCTTCCTGGCCGGGCGGCAGCGGCCATGGCGGACCAAGGCGCGCAACCCTTAACAGAGCGCACAAGAGCTCAAAAGAGCGCAATGAATTTCCCAGAAGCCCCCGGACGTCTGTGTGTGCCACCATCCCAGATTTCCGGGATCTGGAACTTTTCCGCTGCCTTGTGGATGCTGCGGCGCGCGGGCTCGAAGGCGCGTTCAGCCTGGTTGAGTCCGACACAGCAACAGCTGCGTTCGTTTTGGGAAATGGGAGTGTTAGGTCTAGGAGAGGGGGAGAGGGAGGGCGAGAGAGGGAGGGATGGGGGGGGGGGTTGTCCGGGACTAGCACCCTAGCCTTGTCCAGCACTACCTAGCCTTGTCCGGGACTACCCTAGTCTTGTCGGGACTATGCTAGCCTTGTCCGGGACTATCCTCGCCTAGTCCGGGGCTAGCCTTGTCGGGGACTACCCTAACCTTGTCCGGGCTTGTTGGTCCCTTTAAAGAAAGAAGCCTGCGGCAGAGGGGCTTCGCTTCAGCTCCACTTCATCTTAGGTCTCAAAGGGCCCACAGGGGCTTATAGAAAGCTTCTTCAGAACACAAGACGGACCGACAAAGCGGCGCGCCTGCGACCCTTGGGGCCCTCGGCTAATGTGGGGATGATTTGGGGAGCACGTTTGAGATCATTTTTGAGGAGCTTTGCTCGATGTTTGAGGCCCTGACGTGGTCGAGGCGCAGAACTCAGCACGCGCTGTGCTGAAAGGCCCGTGGCCCAGAGTGAGGTTGTCATGCGTTTTCTCATATGGATTGTCTTGGGGGGTGATGGCAGAACGGCGTAGCGCTTGAGAGAAGGATCTTTTGAGACATTTACTGACATTTGAGATTTGAGGCGTGGCCTGGCTGAAGTTGGAGCTGCCTGAGGCGAGGGCCAGGGAAACCGTGGGGGCCACTTTTTGCATGCATTCTCTGCTCAGAGGCTCAGGCCCTGGAAGAGGCCCTGAATGAAGCGCAGGCGGGGCAACGCATCCATTAGCCGCATTCGCCTGTGCTTGCCATCACTGCCAGGCCGCATAAAGAGCGATGCCTCGGCTCGGAGAAAAGGAAGCGAAATTAACTGGCTGGAGTTTTATTGGAGTTCCCCTGGAGTTCCCCTTGGAGTTCCCCTTGGAGTTCCCACGATTGCCTGTCTTAGGACCCGGTAGTGCGACGCGTCTGCCCCTCCCAGGTGGTGCACCGCCAGATCTGGGTGCCACCCTTCGGTCACCGGCCTCAGAGGCGGAGCGCAGCGGAGCGTCGTAAGACATCATCTTGACTAAGGCGCCGTGGCCCTGATCTTTGCCGCCGAATCAGTAGCGGCGGCCAAGCAAGGCCATCAGAGGGATGAGGCAATGTTCACGGAGATGTCGCAGACCTTGGGGGGCACGTCTCGGTGCAGGCAAGTTGATCTGCCGAAAGACCGTCGGCAACCGGGCGCTGAAGGACGGGGAAGGGACGAAATCAGGGCCAAATGGGGGCACAAGGTGCACCGATGCTTAGAGTGACGATGCGAGGCCTGCTCGGGCGTAGCCACAGCCTGTGTTTGCACCGTGGCCCTGGCACAGCTGCCAGGGGCCCAAACTGCACAACTTGCAGTGTTTGCAGGATGCTGCATGAGAAGCGATTGTTTCAAGAGCTGACTGCCGCATGAAATGCGTTAAATGTGGTGGAATGTGTTCTCTATGAAGCCTCCGAGAGGTGTGGCAGCCCTACCTTGATGCAAGGACCCTAGAGCGGGTCTAGAGGAGCAAGGGCCTAGGGCCTTAGGGTGCTCCTCAGAATATCAAAGTGTGGCAGGGGATGACACGAGAGCTGAGGCGCACCATCGTGATGTTCGCTGCCGCCTACTCCATGGCACGCCGGCTTAGAGCTCTGTGGCTCTGTCGGCATAGCGCGCCACCAAATGCGAGACCCCCTACGCATGTCCGAGGTGCTGAACCCAGGCGCGGACTACTTCCCGCCAGCCGGGGCGCTCTGCGCCTTGTTCGTGGAGAAGGCGAGCGACACCGCAGCCGGCCTTTGCGTCTCCTTAGTCACCTATTCGCCTATCTCAGATGGTGTCTGTATTTGTCGAACATTGGGAGCATTCTCTTTTGGGGGAGCGGCTGTCTCTGCTCTCTCAGAGGCGGTGGTTGTTGGCAAGCCCTCTTTGCTGCCCGGCTTCGAGTATGCCCTCTTCCCTTGTGCAGTCGGTGTCGGGCTTCTGCCCGCACCTTAGAGATCCTTAGAGTGCGCTTGACTGGGTGTGTTTTCTGTGTTTTCTGTGTGTTCGAGGACGTTCGAGGACGTTCGGTGTGTTGCCGAGTTGTCAATGAAAAACTGGGAGGCTCCTGTTTTCACGGCTGATCGCCTTCGTGCTGGCACGCGCGCACTGGGCACTTCTGCCTTCCAGGCGCTGCGACCCTGTGTACCGACTGTACCGGTAACGTAGAGACGCTCTGCCATGAGACGCTTCGCCGAAACTCCATTTTGCATCTTCAGGGACGCCCAGGACCGGGAGCCGTTGCCGCGACCTCTGAAAACTCGAGCCTCAAAATGAAGAGAGAGATGCGGAGACGGAGGGGAGGCGGGGCACACCGCAGTGAGAGATGCGGAAGATAAGGAGGAGAAAGGGGGGGGGGGTGGAGGGCCATTGTCTGATTGTCTGAGGCTATCGAAAGCGTGATCCGCTGAAGGCGGCCTGCCTTGGTTCCAAAAATTAGAAACCCTTCGGCCGCAGCGCCGAGCGTGCTGCCATCGTGTGCTGCGAAGCCGATGCCCCGATAGCAAAGCTATCGATGCGACCGAGAGCTGGTCGTGCGGGGCGCTGTGAATGTAGGCGAATGTAAATGCGAATCTACTCGAAGCGACTCGAGAAAGAGGTGCCTTCAGGGCTTCTCACAAAAGAGGCCAATTGCTGTATATTGCTCTCTTCGCAGCTTGTTCAGTGGCCCCCACGTTGCGAGGCCAAGTGCCTAGAAGCCTCCAGAGAAGCATCCAGAAGCACCCCTAACTCAGAGAAAGAGCCTTTCGCAGTTGCAGGCCCGAGCCCATGAGCCGTTGGAAAGCCTTTTAGCCTACGTCACAATGTCCAAGTTCCCCCCCCCCCCCCCCCCCCCCCCCCCCCCCCCCCCACACCAACACCCCCCCCCCCCCCCCCCCCCCACCCCCCCCCCCCCCCCCCCACCCCCCCCCCCCCCCCCCCCCCCCCAACCCCCCCCCCCCCCCCCCCCCCCCCCCCCAAATCTCCACCAAAGCCCCAAAGTCTCCCGTGTGCCCTGGGCGGAGTCCGGATGAGATGAAGGCACCTGAAGTTCACGAGTGTTCCAGACATGAGTTTCCAAGCACTAGCAGTCACTAGCATTCTGTCGAGTTGGTAGGATCGGACATGATCCCAGCTCGCAGCCCCGGCCACAGTTGCAACATTAACATCTGCAGCTTAGGATGGCATGTTTGTGAGGATCCTGCAAGATTCTGTGCAGCACGAGGCTCCCTCCGGCATGGGGACGGGCACGACTTCAAGAATGGGCTCAGGTGCTGTGCCATATGACATATGATGCCATATGATCCCCGCCCTGTGCCTTGATGGGCGACGGGAAAACGAGAGCAAAGGTGCTTTTCGTATGGGGGGCGGGGGGCGGTCAGTGTCGCAGGCATCGCTTAAAGTTCATCATAACTGGATGATAGCGAGAAATGATGCGTTCATGTCAGGTGGGGAAGGGGGGATCCACTGTCAAAGAGAAGCAAACTTATCGGTCTCTCTCCTTTTTTTTTGGGAAAGGTCCCTCATCCCTTTCTCTCTCTCTTTTGTTCCCAGCGGGCGGGTGCGCGGAGCGGTTTCAGGAGGAGCGCCGTCGGACTGGACCTGGGGTCCGGGCCCTGAGATTGCCCTCTGAGAGTGCGATCTCTCTCTCTCTCCCTCTCCCTCTCTCTTTCTCTCCCGATCTGTTATATTTAGTATGAACAAATATGTGTATTCTTTAAGCTTCGACTCGAGACTCGGTGGATGGATAGAGTTTGAGAGCTCTTGGCTTCAGATCGTAGGGGGTGGCAGGGGAGATCTCAGGCGGCGGTTGCTGGTCGTCCTCAAGCACTCGCCGGCAACTCAGACATGGCACGTTGCGAAGGAGGCGGCAGCGAAGCCAAGTTGCGAAGCCACGTGCGGAGGGCTTCTTCCTTGCTCAGGGCCCCCCTATTGGCTTCGTTCCTTTGGAGTCAAGCATTGTGAAACACCTCTTCGAATGTTTGGAGTCAAGTTTTGTGACACACCTACCCGCTAAACTTTGTTTGAATGACAGTCTTTGTTCGTCGGTTTTGCAGAAGAGCAAGGGTGTTGGGGGACTGTGCTCGTATGACAGGTTTTGCAGATAAGCAGGGGGGTTTGGGGGGACTCTGCTGGGCTTTGGTGTTTGGACCTTATTGCAGGTTTTTAGGGTTAAGGGCGAGCTTTTTTAAGGTTAAGGGCCCAGTGACATGGGTGCCTCCTGTTGTTTTGGTGCCTCAGTCTTACAATTTCAAGGTTAAGGGATGACCTGGATACTACTGAAAACGGGTGCCTCAGCTTTCAGGTTTTAGGTTTAGGGTCTTCGAGTTGGTGCTTCATTAAGCCTTGAGGCTTTTAGGGTCAAGGGCTGAGATTTTTCGTGCTCAAGCCATACGACCCATACGACTCTAGGGCTAAGGTCTTTGTGTTTCGTGTTTAAGCCTTTAGATTTTTGAGCTCACAGCTTAAGGCTTTGGTATCTTTAACTCTCACGATTGTAGGGTTAACAGCTTAGAGTTTTGGTGTCTAAGTCGGGTTCAGGGTTTAGGCCTCTGGTGCTTAGGCCTGAAGATTTTTTAAGGTTTGAAGAGCTGAAGATATTGGTGCTCAAATCTTAACATTGGACATTTTCCCTTCCTGTTGTTTTGGTGCCTCAGTTTCGAATTTTCAGGGTCAAGGGCTTAATGGTGTGAAGATCTATCTTCGATCTTTGTAATTTAGGGCTTAGGGTTTAGGGTGGAAACTGACTACTTTACTAAATGTGTCGCCCGATTGGGTCAACAAAACTGGCTACTTTCGTAAATGGTAAACTGACTACTTTACTAAATGTGTCGCCCGATTGGGTCAACAAAACTGACTACTTTCGTAAATGGTTTAGGCTTTCGGGTTTAGGGCTTAGTGTTTAGGGCGTGTTTTGGTCGCCGAAACTGGCTACTTCAAATGTGTCGCCCTATTGGGTCAACAAAACTGACTACTGTCGCCGAAACTGACTACTTTACCAAATGTTTCGCCCGATTGGGTCAACAAAACTGACTACTGTCGCCGAAACTGACTACTTTACCAAATGTTTCGCCCGATGGGGTCAACAAAACTGACTACTTTAGGGTTTCGGGTTTCCGGTTTAGGGTTTAGGGCATGTTTTGGTCGCCGAAACTGACTGCTTTACTAAACGTGTCGCCCGATTGGGTCAACAAAACTGACTACTTTAGTAAACTGTTTAGGGTTTCGGGTTCGGGTTTAGGGTTTAGGGCATGTTTTGGTCGCCGAAACTGACTACTTTACTAAATGTGTCGCCCGATTGGGCCAACAAAACTGACTACTTTATCAAACTGTTTAGGGTTTCGGGCTTAGGGTTTAGGGCATGTTTTGGTCGCCGAAACTGACTACTTTACTAAATGCGTCGCCCGATTGGGTCAACAAGACTGACTACTTTGGTAAACTGTTTAGGGTTTCAGGTTTCGGGTTTAGGGTTTCGGGTTTCGGGTTTAGGGTTTAGGGCATGTTTTGGTCGCCGAAACTGACTACTTTACTAAATGTGTCGCCCGATTGGGTCAACAAAACTGACTACTTTAGGAAACTGTTTAGGGTTTCGGGTTTAGGGTTTAGGGCGTGTTTTGGTCGCCGAAACTGACTACTTTACTAAATGTGTCGCCCGATTGGGTCAACAAAACTGGCTACTTTCGTAAATGGTTTAGGGTTTCGGGCTTAGGGTTTGGGTTTGGGGTTTAGGGGTGAGGGTTTAGGGTATCAGCACAAACTAGTGGCATTAAATCGTACTTCGTCCCAATGCAAACGGGTGGTAGCAAATCATACGTCTTTCAATCTTTGACAGTCAAGCACAAACTTGTGGCAACAAATCGTACTTCTTCCCATCTTTGACAGTCAAGCACAAACTGGTGGCAACAAGTCGTGCTTCTTCCCATCTTGGACAATAGACACGAACTGGTCGCAACAATCGTACTTCTTCCCATTGTTGACAGTCGAACACGAATTGGTGGCAACAAATCGTACTTCTTCCCATCTTTGACAATCGAACACAAACTGGTGGGAACAAATCGTGCTTCTTTCCATCTTTCAACATTGGAACAGAAATCGGTGGCAACAAATCGTAGTTCCTCCCATCTTCGACAATCGACAAATTGGTCGCAACAATCGCAACAAGTCGTACTTCTTTCCATCTTCGACAATCGAACACGAATTGGTGGCAACAAATCGTACTTCTTGCCATCTTTGGGAATCGAACACGAATTGGTGGCAACAAATCGTACTTCTTCCCATCTTGGACAATCGAACACGAAGTGGTGGGAACAAATCTTACTTTATCTTTCAAAAATGGAACAGAAAGCGTACTTCTTTCTTCGTCGGCGCAACAAATCGTACTTCTTCGAACACGAATTGGTGGCAACAAATCGTACTTCTTCCCATCCTTGACAATCGAACACGAATTGGTGGCAACAAATCGTACTTCTTCCCATCTTTGGGAATCGAACACGAATTGGTGGCAACAAATCGTACTTCTTCCCATCTTTGACAATCGACAAATTGGTCGCAACAATCGCAACAAGTCGTACTTCTTTCCATCTTCGACAATCGAACACGAATTGGTGGCAACAAATCGTACTTCTTGCCATCTTTGGGAATCGAACACGAATTGGTGGCAACAAATCGTACTTCTTCCCATCTTGGACAATCGAACACGAAGTGGTGGGAACAAATCTTACTTTATCTTTCAAAAATGGAACAGAAAGCGGTGGCAACAAATCGTACTTCTTCCCATCTTCGACAATCGACACAAACTGTTCGCAACAAATCGTATTCTTCCCATCTTTGGGAATCGAACACGAATTGGTGGCAACAAATCGTACTTCTTCCCATCCTTGACAATCGAACACGAATTGGTGGCAACAAATCGTACTTCTTCCCATCTTTGGGAATCGAACACGAATTGGTGGCAACAAATCGTACTTCTTCCCATCTTTGACAATCGACAAATTGGTCGCAACAATCGCAACAAGTCGTACTTCTTTCCATCTTCGACAATCGAACACGAATTGGTGGCAACAAATCGTACTTCTTGCCATCCTTGGGAATCGAACACGAATTGGTGGCAACAAATCGTACTTCTTCCCATCTTTGACAATCGAACACGAAGTGGTGGGAACAAATCTTACTTTATCTTTCAAAAATGGAACAGAAATCGGTGGCAACAAATCGTACTTCTTCCCATCTTCGACAATCGAACACAAACGGGTGGGAACAACTAGTACTTCGTCCCAACTTTGAGAACCAAGCACAAACTCTTTCAGAATCTCCAAGTATGTCGGGCAACCCGCATGCAATGCGAAGGTCCAAGCCTTCAGAGAAGCCGCAGGCGGGTCAGTGCCGGGTCATGCGGGCCTTGGCGTAGCCTCTAGTCATGCTCCATTCAAGAGGCGATCCGGGTGGTGGACCATGGAGAGCAGCAGAAGGAGGCCTTTGGGGTGGCTTTTTTTCGGGCATCGTTTGGGGGATTTTGTGTTTGGCTCTTGGGAAATCTCTCTGCAATTCCTCAGCTCTTCCTTTACTTTGCAGGCACTCCGGCGGCTCTACGACGCCCAGGTGCTGCTGCAGTCCTACGAGGAGCGCAGTTGAGCGCAGTTGAGCGTAGCGGTAGCGCAGCCTTCTCCTCCTCTTTTCCTTCGCGGGTTCTTGCTATGTTCAATCTCAGTATTCGCTGTCCCAGGAGCAGCTGAGTGCCAAGGATGAGCAGCTTTACAAGATCCAGGTCTGCGTGAAGAAGGCCTGGGGGACCAGAGCCGTTGAGAGGTTGAGATTGATGGGCCCGAAGTACGACGAGATCAGGATGTTCAGCAGAGCCGTTCAGCTCCTGTTGAAGTTGGTTGCTTTGCGCATGTTTGCGCCTTGTGTAGGCCATCCGTGAGTCGAGTGCTGACTACCTGCGGGAGCCCCGGAAACCGGAAGGAGAGGAGAAGCAACAGCAAAGTAGGCAGCAAAGAACACCGCCAGAGTCTCAGAGAGTTCTGCCCGTGTCCTCAGGCGGGAGCCGCATCTCATTGAGCCGGAGCCCGTGAGATGGGCTGTGAGCCTTCGAGTCGATCTTTCTTCTCACCGGTTTCTTAAGGTTTCTTAAAGGTTTCTTAAGGTTTCAAGGGGGGTTGCTTTTGAGTTGTTCCACGTTTCAACGCAGTCCTCTCCTCTGCGTGGTCACCCCCCCCCCGCCCGCCCCAAGGTCGTTGGGCCTGAGCGAGGAGGAGCTCCAGGCGGAAGGCATCGCCACCACCGACAAGCCGACGGGGAAGACGGCACGCTTTGAGGCATCCGCCATCTAGGGCTACTTCGAAGTTCGGAAGTTCTGCTACGAAATTAAACTACGAAGTTAAACTACGAAGTTGCTGCGAAGTTACTACGAAGTAGCTGAGTTTGCTGGGTGGTGGACAGGCCATGCTTGACCAGAGCTTCGAGACTCAGAAGTGGGAAGAGAAGCAGGACAGGGAAAGGAAGGCCAAAGACCTGCAGGCACACGAGCTGGATCAATTCACGATACCGGGGGGCCGTGTCTCGTGGCACTGGCCAGGCGAGTGGCAGCAGCCTTCCGGTCCCGGAGCACAACCAAAGCGTCGGACTTGGACTTCTACCTCCTACCTGTTGCTTCGACTTGCGTCGCTTCGTAGCTGCGCCCGACGCTGCTTTGATTGCAGGTGACTTGCAGTGGTTCAAAGTCCCGTACTGGCTGAAGGCTGATGAAGAGACGAGGCGTTGTGTGTTTTTCACCGGGCTGTGCCACGAAATGCATCCTCAAGCCATGGGGGGTCCCTTTAACAGGGTGGAGTAGCTAGAAGACGGAGAGTGCAGGGAGATGGTCCACAATATCAAGCAGCACTTCCTCGACGAGATGAACGCCAAGGCGCTGAGAAGTTGTAAAGTTGTAAGTTGGAAAGGAAGAGATGGGAAGAGCTCATACGAGTCATACGATCAGAGGAAGCGCCGTACAGCACTGCTTCTTCTCCTTGAGGGCCACTTCGACCACAACACGTTTCTCGACCACCTCTGGCAGTGTGGCTTCCAAGTTGCCCAGCACTGGGCGGGCTCGCCGAACGAGGAGCTGGTCAAGCAAGCGGAGGCAGAGCTCACCCAAAGCTCTCACGAAAAGCTCTCACGAAAAAGTCACTTGAAGTCAAACACTAATGAGTCTTTACGAGCGTCTGCATGCGGGATCTGTGGGTTCTGTCGAGTTGCATTGCTTTGCATCCCGCTCTCGACTCTCGAGGCCGCCGAGAAGAAAGCCCGAAGCGTCCAGCGCCAAGCACTCCAGGAGACAGGGGGCCGCAGAAAGCAGAGCAGAAAGAGAGAGGGATGTTTGCGGATTTCCTGCGCATTCCGGTCCGTCAGGCTCTCCAGTCCCTCCAGCTTTGTGCACTTCGTTGGCCCCGGGCTGCCCTTGCTTCGCCCTTCTTGCGCCGCAGGAGACCTCCATGCTGCGCCAGCACATCAAGCGCGTGGAGCGCAAGCGCGGGCCTCTGGGGGGGGGGCCCTCTTCTTCGAGGTGTCTTCTTTTGGAGACTCCTTCGGAGCCTTCAAAGGTACAAGGAACTCCAGAGCAACGCCGCAAAGATGCAGAAGGCCATGTCCACCATGGCCTCCCAGCTCAAGGAGGCCCGTTGGCCCGTTAGACGAGGGGGGGTCGCGAAGCAACCCTTAACACCCCTTAACACCCCTTAACCCTCACTCGGGACTGGGCCCAGGTTGGCCCGTTACAGCAGCTGAAATACAGGGTCGATGTGCTTTTTTGCCCCGCAAATGCCTTTTGCTTTGCTGTGGTTGTTCCGGCAGCGCCTTGCCGGCAGTCAAATAGAAACACTTGGCCGTGCTTGCAATACGTATAGTATGATAGTTGACGTTGATACGTTGACACGGACTCCAGAGCCAAGCTTACCAGGCTCGTGATACTGCAGCGATGTTCGGGGTGGAGCTGCCACAGTCCTCCGGCGATACCAACCGCCGGCCCTCTGTGAGCAATCCCTGTGCCATGGCTCTTTCCATGTCTGGGACGTGTCCATGACAGTAGGGAGGGTCTTCAGGGTTCGGAGTTTCGCACGCTGTGCTGTGGCTTGTGCAATCTCAAGAGTACCTTGGATGCGTGTGAACTGTGGCTCAACTGTGGCACAGAGGGCAGCTCTTGATGGCGTGGGACCAAAAGCTGTCCTGATGCCGGACCATGGGCTGCGGGTGCTGCAGGCTGCGAGACACGCCACAAAACGAGAGCCCCAAAAGCCCACGGTGCGAGTGTGCCCTCCTCGAGGCAGCAAGACATCCCAGAAGGCTGGGAGTGGTGGTACCACGATGCCGCCACCTACCAAGGCGCGAGCCAAATGCTGTGAACGTTGCGATGTCGCGAGATAGCCGATCTTCAAACGGATGTGGACAGTTCATGTGAGCCGCACGACTGGAAGGCTAGTATTATCTTGACAGGTAAGGATATGAAGAGAATAAAGAGGTGACGCGTGAGGCATATGAACAAGGAACCTCGTGAATGAAACCAACCGCAGAATGATTCCCGTCTCGCGGTTAAGAGCCCCACTTTGAGACCAAAGCACTAATGTTAAGAGAGTTCTTGTGATGCAAGAACTGTACCTCCTGGAATCCACGGTCAATGATGATTCGTGAGTTCGCTTCTGTCTTCTAATGGTGTGTCAAGAAGAGAATGAAGGTGGTAAGGAGTGAATTAGTGAGCGACTCACGCACCTTCATGGCCAGGATATTTTATTCAGGTTGTGTCCAGAGACTATTATTATTAAAACCTCGGGCGAAATATAAAAACAGTGAGCCCGGGAATGATTAGAAGAAAAGCAAAGAAAGGTGCGTGTGAATGAACGGGACAAAAGCACGCGTCTTTTGCTGCAGGGTCTCGAGGCAAATCATCATCTCTTTCTGACTAGTCTCTAGATTGGTCCGCCCCTTATGCAGAAAAATCTGAACATCCGACAGTCGCTTTCAAGAACCCACTGAGCGAACTTGTCAAGTATGGTCGGTTTGTCCAAGTAAAATAGCTTGCATCGGGAAGAAGCTGGCACCGGACTCGCTCAGGGCTCAGGCCACAGCAAAAAAAAACAGAGACTGATCATGTTGGAAAGGGCCAGCTTCCATCCCGAAGCCCCAAAATCCCTCCAAAAAAATAGATGAATTTGTAGCCTGCGATCCCTACTTTGGGTGAAATTCCCCATTCCGCTTCTCGTGACGGAGGCCGTGCCTCCGGCTCGGGTGCGCCGGCGCCCTCCTGTGCCCAGCTTGGCAGAGGGAGATTTAAAACCGAAGAACCGGAGGCGGAGTTACTTTCTGTTTCAGAGATCTCGGAGTGAGCTTCGCTTTTCCCTGGGAGCGCGTCGCTGGTTGCTGCTTCGGTGTTGGAGGGGGGTTTCGTTCAAGGCGGTTGTTTTCCGATTCATGGGTTCTCCCTCCCCCTCTCTCTCTGCCCCTCTCTCCCCATCTCTCTCTCTCTCTTTCTTGTGTTTTTGCTGGTCCCCTCGCCGCCGTCCGAGGCGCCAAGGCGCTGTCCCTGGAGCCCCTGGAAGCGGAGCCCCTGGAAGCGGAGCCCAGGTCCAGTCCGTCCCCGACTCCCCCTCTCCTCTCCTGAGGCTTCTTAATGGTTTTGCTGAGGTGCTTGCAGCGGTGCGTTGAGAGACCTTTGATGAGTTGTTGCTTCATTGCTTCATTGGGGAGACACTTTCATTGAGGCTTTGCTGCCCTAGGCCGTGCATTCTCTCAGATGCCTCAGGGAAGTTCTCTCAGACAGCGACGATGGCTCGCCCATGGCCCTGGTCGACCAGCCCCTCGAGCGCTAACCTCAGCCACTTCAGCTGTTGGCCTCTGATCCGAACAAGGGAGAGAGAGAGACAGACAGAGAGATTTATTTGGACTCGATTCGAGGTACCTGCGTGGGGAGGAGCCGGCAGAGCAGGAGATTCCTAGCCAGAACTTGTTTCAGTGTGGGGGGGGGTTTGGTTCGGGTTTGTTCTCAGAGGCTTAGAGGAGTGGTGTCGCATGTGCTGCCACGCTCACAGCAGGTTTATGGAAGAACGTCATGAAATCTCAGGTTTGAACTCTCACAGCCTAGAGATAGGGAGATCCCACAAAAGAGAGCAAGCGGAGAGCTGCGCAGAGAGCGCAACGGGGCGAGTCTTGTGAGGAGCCGACGTACGCGCCCTTGCTGCCAGTTGACCTGGGGATGCCCCGACACTCAGAAACCAGAAACCCCCCAAATAATTACTTGCAACAACTCACGATTTGGGCACGCGCAAGAGTCTTCTGTGAGCCGGGTGCCACAAGACCCTCTGCTGCCTCCTTGTTGTGAGTGTTCCCCCATTGGCCAAGGCCGCCTGCCGGCTCGGAGGACAGAATTTTCATTGGCGAGATTCTGCCACTATGCGTGCGCTCTTATGGAGAGTCCTCTCTCGTTTGTTCTCGCTCTCTCCCTTTCTTTCTCGCTCGCTCTGCTGCACTGTTTCCTAGCTCCTCCGCGTTGCCCCCCGCTACAGGACGGCAGCGCCTTGTAAAGCTATCATCAAACCCGGTATGCTATCTGCCAACATCTCGAGTCAGAATTTTTCATCGTTGTTTCTCAATTTTGATTATTCAACCCAGGAAGCAGGGGGTCCTTATGGGAACGCCGGGACGAGGCGAACGTATGTCTTACCATCGCTTCCAACAGCTACATCTCACGGTACATTCGCTTCAATTCTTCGACTTTTCACTAGGTTCATGGCGTCTCACAGTCTTTTCGTTTTCCTTCTTGTATAACGTGTGATGCTCGTTTATTCATGTTTGTGGTTGAACTGCATCTGGCAAAGTAGGGTTTGGCTCAGAAAGACTTGCGCCTTCGCAAAGGCAGATGTAAAGCACACAGGAGAAACCTTCTTACTCATTCTGCATGGTGCATGCTACCTTGGGTGTCTCCCTGACTGATTGAAGGGAGGAGGGAAAGACGTGTTGAGGAGCAGAACGCCAAGAACGTGTCATTCCTGGTGATCTTCCCTTTGCCGTATCTTGCCAGCCTGTTTGCATCTTTTCTGTTGCTGCGGAGGAGGCGGAGGAGGCTGAGGAGACCCAGGAAGCCGTACAGCGCGGGTCCTCGGACTCTCTGGGACCTATGTGCCATGTGTAGCACCGTGGCTGGCGACATGCTGCGCAAGTCTGAGAAAGAATTCAGGCAGCCAGGGCAAGACAAGCAGCGTCAGCCAACGCTGTGAGCGGAAATCTGAGATTCTCCGAGGCCAGTGGCGGAGCCCGTGGAGCCCGATGCAGCAGAGGGAGGCGATGGAGACAGCAGCTCTCCGCGCTTCCCCTCGCCGTGCCCGGACTCGCCGGTGAAGGGCCAAAGATCGCCGCGGGCAGAGGAGGGAGGAGGGACGAGGACCTTGGCCCGCATTTGGTGTGTTCCGCTCGTGTCTGCTTTTTGTTTTTTTTTCTCACTCGTTTTCGCCTGCTGAATGCTGCAGGGACCTGGAGCTGGAAGTGCTGGAAGGGCTCCGTGGAACCCTGCAGGCTGGCAATCTCCAAGCCAGCTCTTCAAAGTGCAGCTGTTGCATTAGCCAGCAACCTCCCCTTCCGTGGCCACACGGCCTTCCCTTCTGCAAACAAAGCATTGCCCGCCAGCGCCTCTAGCAATCGCCTCCCATCAGGCCAACATCTCCGAGGCAAGTGGCTTGTTGTGAAGTCAGCGACAGATTTGCGAAGTCAGCAAGAAAATAGCAAAACAGATCGCAACAGCATACAGTGACACTGGCTGTAGGACCTCCTCGCGCGGCTCGCCGGCGTTCTGGCCGAGGAGCCACGACTGCGGACACGGCATTATCCAGCTCGGTGGCACTCGGCTGGGCTGTCGTGTTGCAGGATGCCGCCCGCCCGAAGGCCACCACTGCGGGTCCCATGACCACAGAGATCCAGGCACGTCCAGCGATGGTTCAAATGTGCAGATGGAAGCCCCCGCCTTATCTGTGGCCATGAGCTGGTCTCAGGGCCAAGACGCCTTCGGAGCCGATTCGGATCCCTTGCATGGCGTGCCCGGGGGCATACAAAGAACAGAGTCGGCGACTGCGGAGAGCAGCGGGGTCTGCGATGGTCTGCGGAGTAATCTGAGAGCCGAGGCCCGCAACGGAGCTTCCATGTCTTGGGCCAGGCCCATCAATCTGATACTGAGACTTAAGTGACTTAAGTGAGAATGAGGGAGGAGGGAGGAGGGAGGACGCAGAAGATGTTTCATGTTGAAGGTGCGGTGTGTTCTGGCTCATGTTGGAGGTGCCTCCGCGAAGCCCCGAGTCTTGTTGGAGGTTTCCGAGGTGAAGGCAGGCTCTGCCCTACCGGCTAAAATCCCGACCGGCCAAAAAACTTCTCACGCCCTCCCTCTTCGCTTTTCCTCTTGGCTGTTGGGAGGACTTGCAGAAGATGTGGCCACCCTATTCCGCGCCCTGCGCGAATTGCACCCTTTGGGCGACCGTGGAGGGTCCTCAAGCGACCCTCGAGAACGCCTTTCAGGGCTTTGCCTGGAAGGGGTTTCTGGAGCCGAGGGAGGAGGCCGCACCACATGCGCAAACAGCGGTTCCACAGCGCGCAGTGCCCGTGCCCGCGCCCGGCGCCGCCCCGGCCGAAGCGGAGCCGGCGCCGGCCAAGGTTCCGGAGCGGGCCGCGGTGGTGCGCGAGAAGGCCGAGCTGCCATCGGTGCCCTCCAAGTTCTCTGCTGAGGTCCGTGCCGAAGACCCCGCTCAACTGGCTCAAATCCCCTTGAGGGCTTTGGAGGAGCCGACGCTGGCGCGGGTGCTCAGCGACATGGCGTCCTTGGTGGCCACCTTGGAGGCCCGGCACCGGGTTGACTGGGCGCCCAGCTGTGCACCCAAGCCGCCCAAGCCCATGGCGGCGCAGCCCATCGAGCCCATCGACCCCATCGAGCCCATCAAGCTGGAACTGGACCGTCTCAACCGTATCCAGATCTCCGTGGTGCATGCCATCGGCCACACGGCGCAGGCGCGCCTCTTGCGCACTGTCGGGTTGCAGAACTGCACGAATGTG